GTTTGGCTTGTTAGAGAAATACAATCTAAAGGAATATGGTGATCATTTTACCTCTTTACTCTGACCCCCTTAAATAAAAAAAATAAAAAACACAATTACCTTACTTTAAACAACAACCAATCAGAGAATAGAAGCCGAAAGCGTGTAATGTGATCCCATCTAAAAAGAGTAAAATAATGTAGTTTAGATGTTAATTTGGCTGGATGCAAAAATTTGAAGCACTTTTAGATTTTTATTTTAAAAAAACTTGCGTAACCACATATGGTTTTCTATAAAATGTGTTCATTTCATTAACATCACTTCTATACCCCTGAATAAAAATATTATGTGTCCAATTCAATAAAACTAAATCATTAGAGCTAAGATGACTTTAACTGAATCTTTCAAAATGTTATATGGGGTATCAGACAAAAGCAGAGGGAATACAAATGTCTGCCACACTTTTCAGATTTTCATTTTCAAATATTACAGTTTTACCTTAAAATGTTTAGCATGCATTCTTATTGAATCTCCTCAGATCTTGAACAATCACATCATAGTAACATGTGTTTAGTTTAATCTCACCGCAAATATAAATTAGAATTTCACTCCGCTAATGCATCCCAGTGACCAACAATGTTACCTTCTCGGTCAATCAGATAAAATCCTGATTAAATATATTGCAGTTTGTGTATGTAATGTGACAAAATGTGAAGAAATTTAAGGGCTAGGAATTCTTTTGCAAGGCACTGTATAGAGAGACAAACACATACAGAGGTCTGTGACCGGAAGATGAGAAAAGTTGTTTTCAATGAACAGAGAGGAACTAAGAAAAAGTGTGAACTGCTCACTTACATAAAGGTTCGGAACAATCAGTTATGTAATATCACAGTTTAATCCTTGCTGTCTGCATGGGATGAAATCACACAAGTGAGTCATTTCTTTTATAAACACAAGCAGTTACAAAGTCAAGAAAATGCTCAAGTGAAGCTCATCAAAACACCTGTTTCTCTTTTTTAATTTAAAGAAGCAAACAAACATGGATGACTGCGGCCGCCCGAGTACCGGCAAAGAGTTGCACTCTTGGGTCACTATTCCTTTTTGGAAAAAGAACTGAACTTCCACCATCAGCATCCACTTGCTCGTTACAGCCATTTTGTCTTATGTGTTCAAACCAGGAAGGGCACAGGGTTCTGCCCTTCAGGAGTAAATATGTTGTGACATGCTTGTTTGCAGAAACTGGAAAGTGGAACCGATTTGGCCTTAAGGGGGCTAAAGACTCCTGACAAGCCCAACTTAGGCTGCTTCACAGTGGGACCTGAGCATGAGGCTGCAGAGCAGCTTTAGGCTTGGACGTCTGATGGTCACATGCTTTAAACAGTATCAGGTACACCTCTATCTCACAGCCCCCAAGAATAAACTAGTCCTAGCTAGTCATGCCTAAAATAAGGGAAAACAAAATCAAACAAGAACTGATAAGGTAGCATATTTAGTATACAATATGAACATTATCTGTTTGGTTGTGCTGTTTATTGCAAATGAGTTGAATTATTTCAGTGCCTTGAAGGGGAAAAAAAATGGACCTCTAACAGAGTTTATGTGCACACTGATACATTTTTCACTTTTCAATCAACCCCGTGGACACAAAAGCAGTTAGGGAGCAAAAAAAAAAAAAAAACAGCAGAGAGATGAATTTCTTCTCTCAGGGCGGAGGGGAAGATTACACAGACTTATTGGAATTAGAACCGCACAAAATAAGAGGGAGGAAAATCATTTCCGAACGCATGGAGGCCGACGTTCCACATACGCTCGTGCAAATTAATAAAGATATTTCCTTCTCAAATGCAAACGAACACACGATAGCGGACCATTAGAAAACAAAAAAACAAAACATGAATGAGAATCCAGAACATTTAGGGCTTCTCAGCTGTCAAGTAAAACAGGTTTGCAGTACAGCATGTGAGTCTAAATAAAGCAACAACAGTTAAATTCCTCTGCAGTGAAACGCTTCACAAAGTGAGACATTAGCAGACAAATGTTTCACCTTTCAATAAGGGGTTGCACAAATGCATTTCAGCCTCACTCTCACTGAGATGAATCTGCACTCTGGCTTGGTTTCTCCACAAAATTGTGCTGAAACTCTAAACAACATCAACACTGGAAAAATGCCCAGCGTGCATGTGTATGTTTATATATATATATATATATTAATATATATATATATATATTCTTCCATTACCACAGTGATGTCTATCCCAAACAAAGAGAGGGAGCAGGATAGGCCGGGCCAGTGATGGCTCTAAATTCTGTGTGCAATTACCATTAGAGCCCAAGTCAAAAAATGGGCAACAAAAAAACCCACAAACGTCTTGAAAAACTTTTAAACAAGAATGGCTGCTTAGAAATGAAGGATCACAATATACTGCCTCTATATGCAAATATCACCTCTGTATACATGTAATATCGTGTTACATAAATGTTTAGATAATTGAATCTATCCCGAGAAAGCATGGAGAAATAGCTTATCTTAAAAAGAGATAGTCTAACACAATCTGAACTTAACAAAGACTCCTAAAACTAAACTGTCCCTTCTTATTCACTAAACATCTACACCTACAGTAAATTATCCTCTGTGTTTCAACAATTTAGAGAAAATAAAGACAAAAAAAAAACTCTTAACATAATCCGTATCAGTAAAACTATTATAATCAAGTAAACATGAGATTTAAAGAAATGAAAAGGTTCAATTATGTCACTCATGATTAGTAATACTTGTGTCTTATCTATTTTGCATATTTTTATTCAAATATTTTTTTTGATTTTATGAGTTTTTATCACAGTTTTATTTCTTAAATTGTAAAACATACGGAAAGTTACATCCTGTCTGTCTGTTTACTGTACAAAGTGAAAAGATTCTTAAATATATATTATTTACAAGAAAAAGATTGAACATATTAATGCTGACACTGACTGATGCCCAAACCAAAATCTTTCAGCTTCTAAAGGGATAGTTCTGAGTTTTTGAGGTCAGGTTCTGTGAAGTTATTTAATATCAGCGATAGCTGCCTTACTCATAATGGACAACAATGCTTTGGACTGAGTTTATAGGAAAGTTAAAGGTATAGAGGATTTTATTTTTATTTTATTTCCGAGTGAATCATCTCAATAAGTGGTCCTCCTAATTGTCAATCATTCGGGTGATATGTTTCTGTACGTACACCTATCTGCTTGTCCCTGGTTAGCTATCTTTTTCTGCGGATGCACACTTTCGGGCGTTTATGTGTGGTGAGCCACGGTTTCAGAGTCATTGAAGCTCACCTTTCTCACTGCGTTTCTTTGGAAAAGGCAGACGTAAGAGAAAAGGTGTTTACAAAGTGTATGAGAAGAAAAAAAAAGGTTTCAGAAGAGGCAGATATATCCCAGAATACTTTGAACAGAGAGCTCTTCTTGCAAAGCATTATGAGATTTGCTGTCACAGTGGCCCACTGTCGCCATAAGCTGTCGCTACAGCGGCAACTAATAACAAAGATGGCGCATGCACCACACAGTGGAGGAGGAGTTACGTGACCAATGAGGAGCAAAGAGTAGTCATCATCTGTCCAAATTAATTCGCAATAAAGTCCATATATAGTCCCCGCTCAGAGTGCGAAATACAGAGGGGTCCAGGGGGGCTCAACCCCTCCGATTAACCCATGAGACCCCCTGAAAGCCTCAAAAGCAAAATTTAAAAGGGGTCTTAAATTGTGTCAAAAAAATTTAAAATATATTTTGGTCACTAATGGTCACTAATGTTTTTATGCTCAACATGTCTGGTATTTAAAATTAAAAACATTTATTCACAAATATGTTCTGTTTTTTTGCCAAGTATAACCAGCCAATCCTGTGTGCGTATGCAAATTAGCCATGTGCACGCTAAACAGAAGAAAGACTTAAGGGAGCAGAAGACGTTAGTTTTCCTAGCATGCACCGGGCAGCATGTTCAGTATTAGGAGCTGCCAGTTAATGTCAATCTTTTCCAGGTTATTAAGTTACATATTTTACTTGTTACTGTTATGTCTGTTATATCATCAGAGTTTCTGTTATAATCTGAAGTACTTGTTGTTTCACCGTGAGCCTGGAAGGTATGTCCGTTAATGAAAATTTAGATCGGTATTGCGCAACAATTGGGAGATGGGAACCCCCCCAAATATTGACAGGTATTTCGCACACTGTCCCTGCTCTATATAGTAATTTAGGGATTAGGGTGGACGTTTAGACACAGAAAGCTTGTATGAGCGATGCAAACAGTAACTTTTATACAAAGTGTGCAGGTGTTCCCTCTCAGGAAGCGGGTACAGGGTTGTGCATGTGTATTTTTTTATTAAGTGGAGAGGGCGGGTCTCTTAAAAAATTTGTGAAAATCCTCCACAATACCTTTAAGAAATTAGAAGAATGGGAAGCTAACAGCTGACTAGCTATCTCAAACAACCCAAGCAATGTCCCTATACTTAAACACACAACACTAGATTATAATACTAATAATTATACATCGCAACCTTTGAAGAGACTGTTGTGAAGACTTTTGCACTTTTTTAGCCTAAAACACATCTGTTCAAACAAAATTATTAGCAGTTAGTGTATTTGCAAGCTTCTGTTATATCATGTTGTTGTGTACTAGAAAAAGCTTGGTTCATGGTGAGAATTTTTAAATATTTTTGGGCGCACAGCAGAAGATTCCTGATATGGAGAACTAAAATGCTTGTGCAACTAAAATAATGACCTATTCAATTAGTTGGCAGGTGAGCTACATGGATACTATGCTCAATGGATATAATGTGAAAAAACTGATTTGGTTCGCCCTGTTTAAATCAATAAATTGCATGTCATACTACTAGTTTGGAAGTTGTATTGTATAACTTAATATATTGTATTGTATTATAATTGTATAACAACCATGAAGCCATGGAGGTGAAGGTAATAATAATAATTATAGAATAAAATAACTCTAACAATAATAGTGAGTATTAGTTAAAATGCACTTTAAAATATGTATTTCAAAGTGCTACTGTAAAAAAAAAAAAATGTAGAAAGAAATAACAAGTAAATTAAAACAGTTAAATATCAATTTGAAACCCTGGAAAAGTCTTACAGACAGTCTGGAGAGCAGCCATTATCAGACTTGGAGTGAAATCATGCCCTTAACAGCTGTCTTTACCTTTGCCAACCAGGATCATGATAATTTAATACAACAAGCTGTGCCTCATATAGAGTAGGTAGAGAAACACTGAGGGAGAAAAGGACAAATAAAAAAAAAAAAACCCTGGCACAAGCTAGGGGTGCACACTTTAATAGATGCAAATAAAGCTCTTTCTGTCCCCCTCGCTATCATTACTTTGCAGGCTCTATGATCTTTTCTTGTGCTCTGGTGATTATTGATGTTCACTTCTCTTGTTTTGTTAATATAAACACAACATATTGGCTCTGTGATTTCTTTTTATTTTGGTTTAACTGCATAAAGATTATTTGCTTCCTGCAACATTAATCCCCTGGTTTGTCAATCAAATTTGGTCACGCTGTTAATTTTCCATGTGCTTTTAAACACGCAAACCTTTTGGAGATCACACCCTTTATTTGTAAAAATGGACTTAAGTATAATAAATGTGCACTGGGGCAAAACTTAAAATGTCAATGTATCAGGAAACATCATACTAAGATGTGTCCATGTTTAATGGTTGTCAAAATAAATGTTTAATACTTTAGATTTAATGTAAGAGTGCCACTGAGGAGTTTCATTTAAATAATCACAAGCTGGATTGATCAAAAAGTAGGGCAGGCTGCCTTTCTGTAGGAGCCCCTTCACGTGAGTAAATCTTCAATGCAAACTGAGCGTCTGCATAGTGTTGGATGAGATCAATTAATGCTGTTATCTGGTTGTTGCCGTGGCATTTTCGTAGCACCAACATGCACTTTGTAACATTGGCACATAGTGTATGTGTCTCAGAGTTTTGATGATCATGCAATGTAATTTGTTGCAATTTTAAGAATAAAATGAACGGTAACCTGGCCTTGCTGGTGATAACATTTTGATTGCAAATACCAAACCAGTAGAAGTGTGATGTTAAAATTCAAGGTAGATACATAGTAGCTTGACTTTTTTTTTTTTACTCACTGAAGGACATTTTTTTTAGTACAGATAAGGGAACTATCTTTGATAGCTTCACAGAATCTCACTCCAAAAATCCAAACTAGCCTTTTATTTCTGAGTCAAACCCTTCTTCCTCCTTGCTGAATATGGTTCACCTGAACTTTCAAAATGTGTATAAAAATACCAGAGATCCCAAGTTATTTATTAGGAGTGTCTTGGGGTGTGTGTGTATGTGTGTGGGAGAGTGGGTGAGTCTGATTTAAGGCTAACTCAGTCAGTCTCAGTGTTATCCGAGGAGTTAGGGAGTACATGGTGTTGAAGTAATGAGTATTTAACAACGTGATTGGAAAAAAAGCACTTATTGTTGAAGAACGGTCTGTTTCTCTTCAAACATACAAACACACATTTCAGTCTATTGCATGAGTGCTTTTAAATATGGGTGTGATATAATTACAAACACACAGTCCTGTAGGTCCTCTCTGTGGCCAGTACTCCTGCACGATCTCCCTCAGCCCTTAAACTTGTGACGCCATCCTATCACAGATCAAACTTTCAAATAACTAATAGAGGCCTCTGTAGTCTGTACATGATGAGTTATCATCTCACAACTTGAGGGAGGGGGATAATAAGGCATGTCTACTGAGTGCCTATACCTACACCGAGTAAAATGTCCTGTGCAATAAATGAGGCCTCTTTAGCTAAAAAGACTATCTACAACAGTCCGAGTAAAAAACAAGAAAAAAACAATCTTTCACAAGGTAGCCGCCTTCCAAATGTCCGAGCCAGTTCCTCAACTTTGCTTTACATCGACTTCTTCAACAACTTTGTTGCAGTAATTCTCCTACATAAGTGACAGTGCATAATATTTGTTTTACACAATGTCAAAAGAAAGCGTTATGTACAAGCCTCCCAGACTGTTTGTGTGATGTAAATTAATGCTAGCAACAACCATGTGAGCGGTGTTACATTGTATAGCATTGATTAAAGAGGTGGTACGTCAGCTTATCAGTAACAGTGGGACATCCTGATTACAACTTGTTCATAAAACGCCACCTGTACCTGACATATGAAATAGTTTTACGAAGGTATAAAAGATCTCAAACAGCATCTAGTATGGAAACCATCATTATTAGCGACCGGCTGTCAAATTTCAACAGCGGGTTTGGCTCATATGTGACAAAAACACAGAGCAGCCTGAATGAACGCTGGTCCGTCCTGATGAAGCTGCATGTGAACTGGAGGACACTTCCACTGGAGACCTTTAAGGCACGTCCTTCCTCTCAGTAGCTTCGGGTGAAAATGTTGTTCTTCACAGTAACATGAGTTCACACTGAAATAAAAAACAATATCCAACCAAAAAAAAACAAAACAAAAAAAACAACCTTGTGTTGGTGTTTTGCAACATGTGCGTACTTGATCATTAGATATGTCTTGAACAATATTAATCCCCCAGCTCCTAAGATGTCTCTGAAATCCTGGAGCACAAACACGAATGGTCATGGAGCAAAATATTCTACAGAAAACAGAAAAGAAAAAAAAAATCAGGAGTAAAATATTCAGTCTATCTGGCTTGTTGGTTAAACCAAGAGCAACCTTCCTGCCATCACCAGGAGAAGATGGAACACAATTACAAATACTTAGAGAATAATCAAATACTATAACAACAGAATACAAAAGAAAATCTGTGATATTACAAGCAGAATCATCATAAACAGTATGAATGTCTGTTATTCACAACGTGGTTGTTGTTCTTATACCCTGTTTTCTATAAGAATATCTTATTATCATTCGTGATTGTATTTCTCATTAGCAAACAGCTCTTTAGGTGTTGGGGATGAGGAGGAGGAGCAGGAGCAAATAAGTAAGGGAATGGGAAGAGTGCAGGGAGAAATGGAAAATGTCCAGACCAGGGTACGCTGTGGCTATAGCAAGTGTGCAATACCTACTTTCTTAACTGTCATGGGGCAAACAGGCAGTTCACTCCCTCAGACTATGGCCACAAGAAAACTAAATAAAGGTGTTGCGTCATGATGATTTTAACCTAGAGTAGTGACTTCTAGCACACTGGTGGGTGAGGTGATGGAATTGTTGAAGTTAAGGGCCTTTGTAAGATTAAAGAAAATGTTGATTGATTGTGTATGGGTGTTAAAGTAGTGTAGCTTTGGCCATTTTAAAGAGAGGTTAGCATTGGTGAACCCCTCAGGATGTCCTGATTTTTAGCCATGTTTTCATTCTACTTTTTATCTTCAACAGTCTATATTTTGTCTCTGCCACTCATTTGACTCCTTATCTCTTAATGTCACCAAGAACTTGGGCTGCTTTGTGTCTAAAGTGTTCTAAGAAATACCCCTGATCTCTAACACTTTTAACCTCTATTGCTGTCCTCCTCCTTCCCCTTCATCTTTTACACGTCAGACTCAATGCTGGAGAGTTTCTCGTACACATGGCCATTGCTTCCATTGAAGGGACGTGGGGGTCCTACTGCCAACATGGACCCATGGTGATTCATCCCACCAAGACTCAGCTCTTTTGGGAACCGAGGGGTCACGTTGGACATCACCCCGGCTGTGGCAGAAGCTGGCAGATACGACGTTGCGCTTAACTGACCCCTGAAGTCACCTCTGCTGTTTTGGGCAACTTGTTGCTGCTGCTGTTGCTTTGTCAGGTAATATTGTTTGGCTCCATGCATTAGACACTGATCATCACCGAAGGTGGGTATAAAGGGGTTCTGGTTTACCCTATCAGGGTAGAGAGATTTGGATAAAGAGAATGCTCCTCCACCTCCACCTTCCATCAAAGATCTGTCTCTCATGTCTCTTTCTCCGATGGAGCGGCGGTGAAGGCCCTCACCTCCTCTGAAGAGGCCAAAAGGTGAACCAGAACCTTTTTGGTTCTCACCACCATAAAACAATGGGTCTCTGTCTCTTTCTCTCTCTGAGCCCCCATGGCGTTCAAATATGTGTGCGAAGGGGCTGTTATCATCCATGTACCGTTCTTTCTCCTTCAAACTAACACTCCTTGGTGGGGGCAGCATTCCTCCCATGCCAGCTCCACCCATGCCTCCCCCTAAACCTTCCATCAAACTTCCCATTCCACCTGATTCTTCTCTTTGAAGGTCAACAAATGTGTCGTAGGAATGCTGTCGCCTTAGCTGCTTCCCAAATCCTCCGCTCTTTCTTCTCTGCTGGGCCTGAGATGGAGCCTGAGGGCCCGCGGACATACCTCCCACACCTCCTCCACCTTTCCCGCCCCCCATTTGTTCCAAGGGGTGGTTATTGTCTTCACTGATATCGTAAAGGTTTCCTGTCTTTTTACAACCATCACAGCGCATGCAGGTTGCAGAACTAGGCCGGCTGCTACCTGCTGAAGACCCGCAGCCCATACCACTTGAATACCCACCACCTCCTCCATGAATGGACATCTGCTTGCCTCCACTAGCACGACAGTTCCTGCACTCCCATTCTCCCCCTGCCAACCCAGACCCTATCCCTCCTTTTAGATCAGACTTTTTGGGTTTGCTTTTAAGAAAGTCTTCAACTGGCACCAACGAGGTGCAGGTGGGCACTCCTCCATCTCTGTTTCCAGGACCCTCTGTCAAGTCCACATGTTCCCATTGAGGGACACCCTCCTTGGGTCGAAACTGGTCAAGATAAAAGTCCCTAACACTCTCCTTTTCCCTGAAAAGATAAGAGTTCCCATTGTTTTTTCCTCCTCCACCCCCTCGTTTGCGTTCAGAGGGCAACAGTGGTGGGGAGGCAGAGCGTTGGCTGTGGTAATGATGGTGGCTTATGTGGTATGGTTTCCTCCTGTAGCCCAGCTCAATTTCGTCCAGCTCCCGTCTGGACTTTGCAGAGGCCGGCCTCTTTTTTAAGCTGTCACGGTACTGTTTGCGCTTCTTGGCATTGCCCTCCAGGTTCCCATATGTTACGGTGTGTGTGGAAATGTCAGAGACATCTGAACGTATATTTCCTTCATCGTCTCCTCTTCCCCCACAGTAGCTGTGTCCAGGAATGTAAGTGGAACTTGAGGCACCACCTTTAAAAGAGAACTTCCCATAGATGTCAGGCAGACCACCCTTGAAGCTCTGGCCTGAAGGCGGAGTCTGTCCGGACAGCAGGTCAAACTTGCTCATGTTCCTGTGGGTCAAAGCTGAGCAGGGCTGGGTGGTAAAGATAGGTGCTACCCCTCCACCGAGGCTGTCACAATCAAACATGCCACCCTCCAGAGAACTAGCACTCCCCAAACTGTGAGGCCTATTGGGTGGAGGACCACTGAGTCCGGGAGTTGAGCCATGGTGGTGTAGATAGTGATCCTGGTACAAATTGCTGTCCTTGAGATGAAGGTTGCCAAACGTCCTCTCCACTTCACTAATGTAATCACTAAACATGTTGTCTTCTGGCATGTAAGGTGGTTTACAGTCGGAATGGCCTGCTAAGCTGCGGCGATGCTCAGAAATGTCATAAACAGAAGAGTCTCGACGGATGAAATCTAGAGCGCTATGCGGCGAGCCGTTAACTCCTGACAGAGAGGCCATGTTTTTGGCAGTACGAAGGAGGCGCATAATGTTCGAATGGGTGTTGTTCATGGTGGCTGATGGGGAGTTCAACGCAGAGCTGCTCTTCTCTTCAATTTGTACACCATGTATGCAGCTGTATATACCCTGTGGAGAAGAAATGAAGGAGAAGAATTAAAAATGTGAACTGTCAGTGCTGCATCCTATCATTTCTAGACACCTCTGTTCCAGTCTACATGTTTGCCATTTTTATACATCAAATATCTTAAAGAAACCCACATTATAAGATTTACAAAATGTAATGTCTCTTTGGATTGATAAATTATTTTTTGTGTTTTCTGCATCCTATAAGCAGATTTGATGGGACTTCTTGTGTTAAAAGCTCTCTTTTTCAAGTAAATAAATCCAACTAAATGAAACTTACACCATATTTAGACTCCTCAAGTTAGTTTATCTGTACATAATATAGTCTATTAACATAGGTAACACTAATTGGACAGTAAATTTGCTTGGCAACAAACTATTTTGTTTCCTCTGCGTAGAAAAAATCAGGATTTCCATAAACCACCACCCCAGCGCTGCATGTCCCAAGCCTGTAACATCAAGAGTGACCCCTCACAACCCCACTATGTACTGTTCTCCCTGCTGCGCTCTGGGAAGAGGATTTGCAGCATTTGTGCAGGTCCAGCAGGTTCCGCAACTGCTTTTTCTCCTCTGCCATCAGACTGTTGAGCTGTCGAACTCTAAACTGGACTCTGCATCACACTTCCAACATTATTTTTGCAATACCAGCATGGCTAATTTTATAAATAATCATTTTAAAGAGAACAACTCAATGCCCTACTGCATTTATTTTGCACTGCACTGAATGTTCCATATTAATGCCTTTTGCACCATAACTCTTAAACTGGTTTCCTTTTATCCTACAATGTCTGCATTCTGATCCCTGCTGCACTTTATAATGGTAATGTTAATTTCACTGTTGTAAGCTGCTCATTCATTGTTGTAAGCTGTATGCAACAAAATTTGTTTTGTATACACTCTGTGTATACAAAATGACAATAGATTGTCTATGTCTCAGTCTAAGTATAACCATAAATCTGCAATGGAAGTAGTAAATAAATCTAAACTTATATAATCAGAAAAATTAATATTTTTAATCAGTTTTTTTTAACAACTCTCTAAATTGAATTGCTTTTAACACATGATGATTGTGTTCATTCATTATTTTGTCCAGAAAGAAATTTTTTTATTTCATTAGGAATTCTTTTGCTTAGTGAAATAGCTGAGGAAAACTCAAATGTCAAGGGGATATATATATATATAAATGTATAAAAAGTATTAAAACAAATATTTTAAGACTGGCCTTTAAAAAAATGCACGGTAACATTAATTATGTCATCAGTTATCATTCAATAGTATATATCAGTTAAAAATTGCATCCTGAAAAATCATCTTTTAAATGTAGATAACATAAAGTAAAAATGGTTCTAAATTGAAAGTAAAGATCTTTGAATTCATGTAGAATTTACAGGAATATTTTGCTAATTAAACTAAACTACAAAGGTTGTAATGTGCAATTGATAAAACAGCACCACACTTGCAAGAATGGAGTCACTTGATGCTAGATGATTGATAGTGGCATAGGGATTATAAAACCCTTCCAGATCCAGTGGTCAATACCTTCAATCAATGTAATTAGAATCCAGCTCAACAATTTCCTCTGACAGTTATATATAAAAAAACTCACTTTCACAAACCCCTTGGCGCCTCTGGCCACAAAACAATGCTGGAGCAAAAAGGCCATGCAAAAGAGAGACTAGCTGAGCCCCACAGAGACAGAAAGATAAACTGCTCCATTTGCATTCAGTGATGTACGATCAAATATTCAAATAAAAATGGATGTTCAGCAGAGGGCAAACCAGGCATGACAGATGAGGACCTTAAAGGACAGATCAATCGCAAAGAGTGATTTTCTCAGAGTGTGCCCTGGAAAATGTAAAAGCAGCTGGTCAAAAAACATCCAATCTGCAGGACCATAAATCCGTTTAGTGTTTGGTAGATTTCTTTCTATTTTTCCACTAGAAAGACCCTCAGTACTGCCTCCACAGGTCACATGCGTCTGGTAATCAGACTACTGCATTGGCGCAGAAAAGCTTCATCCTAATATCTATTTTACAGGCAATGTTATTGCTTCTTTTAATTTCACAGTCTGTTAATAGCCGAGTCTTTGAGGCTATTGTCAAAGTAGGTGAAGCTGAAAAGGCACTTTAAGGAACCAAGAAGAGTAAGATGAAAACAAACCCATTCTGATAGTTTGATTATATTTTTGGCTTTTTCCACAGAGAAGAATCTCCTCCAGATTACTGAATCCTAAACCTCAGAAAAATAAAAAAAATAAAAATACAGTTTTTTCCGTTCATCTTAAGCATTTTTCAAAAGTATTCACACCCTTTTAGATTTCCCAATTTTATTCTGGTAATCATAGTTTTTATGAGTTTTAATGCTAAGTAGTGCCTGACAGTGAAATCTGACAAATGTGCTGTGCATTCGTACTTTCACCCTTTACCATAATACCTCCGGACAACACCCAGTGAAACAAACTGCCTTTCAAAGTTATCTAATCAGGAAATGGTGTACACTTATTGAACCCCAGCAAAAACACAGCAAAGGCCGAGGAGGGTTGTTGAACAAGATTAGTGGTCAAACAACCTACGGTGATGCTGACAGAGCTGCAGAAATCAGCAGGTTGGGGAATCTGTCACCAAGGTAGCAGTTAATTGTCTTTTCTGAATGTATTTGAGCTATCCATTTTAAAACATTTATTTTAATTAATGATTCATTACAAAAAAAAAAACACAGACACACAAAAAAATCATAACTGGATCAAGAGGAGCGAACTGAAGTAAAATCTTATATTGTCTGCCATGTCAACACAAATACACTGCTCAAAATAATTAAAGAAACACTTTGAAGATGCATCAGATCTCAATGCGGCAAAAAGTCATGCTGTTTATTTATACTGATATGGACTGGCTGATGTGTTAGGAACAAAAGGATGCCACATCATTTGATGGAAATGAAAATTATCAACCTACAGTGGGCTGAATTCAAAGACACCCCAAAAATTACAGTGAAGTCCATTTTGCTGAAATGTCATTGCAGCAACTCAAAATGGTATTCAGTCATTTGTATGGCCCCCACGTGCGTGTATGCATGCCTGACAATGTCGGGGCATGCTCCTAATGAGACGACGGATGGCGTCCTGGGGTATCGCCTCCCAGATCTGGACCAGGGCATCACTGAGCTCCTGGACAGTCTGAGGAGCAACCAGGCAGCATTGGATAGATCGAAACATAATGTCTCAGAGGCGTTCTGTTGGATTTAGGTCAGGCGAGAGTGGGGACCAATCAATGGTATCAATTCCTTCATCCTCCAGGAACTGCCTGCATACTCTCGCCACATGAGGCCGGGCATTGTCATGCACCAGGAGGAACCCAGGATCCACGGTACCAACATAGGGTTTGACAATGGGTGCAAGGATTTCATCGTGCAACTGCACGCTTTGATTTTTGTTGACAACAACTATGCGTCACTTAACATACGTCACGCACTCCGTTGCTCTTATTGGTTGTATTTCTATCCAATTGAGTGCAGAGGCATTTTTTTTTCTGGTTCGTTTGAAACACGCCCCATAATCACAGCTCTATGGAGCAGTATCAGACTCATATTCTGACTAGAATTGAGTAGGACTACGTCAGGCTAAGACCATCACAGACCCACTACCAAACCGGTCATGCTGAACGATGTTACAGGCAGCATAAGGTTCTCCACGGCTTCTCCAGACCCTTTCACGTCTGTCACATGTGCTCAGAGTGAACCTGCTCTCTTCTGTGAAAAGCACAGGGTGCCAGTGACAGACTTATCAATTCCGGTGTTCTGTGGCAAATGCCAATCGAGCTCCACGGTGCAGGGCAGTGAGCACCACTAGAAGATGTCAGGCCCTTAGGCCACCCTTGTGAAGTCTGTTTCTGATTGTTTGGTTTGCATTTGTATAGTCACAAGGGGTGATAATACTTTCCTAAGACACTGCACCTTAATCTAAGAAATATTCTTCTTTCAAAGATGCAAAATTAATACTTTTAATCTTCACGTGCATGAAACCACTACTGATCAGACTGCTAAAAAGGCAGACAACTTCTGTAGAAAATTATGGATTGTGCACTTTACATGTTATAACTCCTAATTTATCACTGTCCAAACATGACGAATGTGTGTGGTGCTAAGCACAAATTAACTTACAAATAATTTGGTGGGGGAGCTGGACAAGGTGTAGTGATTAAACTTCAAATACATTTACAGTTATAAAGTCATTAGAGGCTTTTAAAATCAATATAACTAATTAGTCCGAGTATTTCAGGTGGGACCTGAAGGAACAGGTATCCAGGAGGGAAAGCTGTTCACACAGCCTGCAGAGGGAGGGGGCACTAAACAAGCATGGAGGCGCGATTGAGGCCACGTGACTCACGCCGGCTGTGACAGATGTCATTTTTCATGGTGGCGGGTCTAAATGTTAATTGCAGCAATAACAATAAGCTTTATTGGATTAGGCTATGAAATTAAAGAAAACTGAATCAGTCTGATGAGCAGAACAAGAAAGAAAAAAGAAAAGAAAGAAACGGCTCCTGCTTAACAGAGAATGTTACAGTAAATGAGACATAGAGGCTTTGGATGTTGGACGGTGGAAAAATGATGGAGAGTCATAACTCCTGTTGATGTTTTCCTGCTCAGTGCTCCAAATGCAAATCACTTCTTTCTATGAGTGTTTACCCAGAATATTTTATCATATTGAGTAATCTCTCTGTATTTGTGGACACACACAGCATTATTCCACGCTGCAACAAAGATAAGCGTAATTTCTGCCGTTAGAAACTATCACTGAATTTTCCACAAAGTTAATTAGTCTCTGATTCAGCCACCAATACAGGTTCTCTGTATAATAACAATATTCAAAAGAGAGGAAAAGAAAAAAAGAAACAAGCAACTTGGCTTTGGAAATGAGAAGTCAAATGGCATCTTAGCCGCAAATGGAAATGGATTCCTAAACATCTTTGATGAAAAATGCAATTCTTTTCAAGATTCAACTTTCCTCCTGAGTCATGAGCTATTTATGAGTATTTGCAAATACAAAATACTAAAGTGCTGTGGATTTATGGGTAGTATTTTTACTTTAGGGAGGTTTTCATAATGGAACCTGGTAAGAGGAAGGAAGGAAGGAAGGAAGGAAGGAAGGAAGGAAGGAAGGAAGGAAGGAAGGAAGGAAGGAAGGAACGAAGGAACGAAGGAAGGAAGGAAGGAAGGAAGGAACGAAGGAACTAAAGAACAAAGGAAGGAACGAAGGAACTAAAGAACAAAGGAAGGAACTAAGGAAGAAACAAATGAACTTAGGAAGGAACGAATGAACTAAGGAACAAAGACAGGTAGGAAGGAACTAAGGAAGGGATGAAGGAACTAAGGAACAAAGGAAGGAACAAATGAACTTAGGAAGGAACGAATGAACTAAGGAACAAAGACAGGAAGGAAGGAACTAAGGAAGGAATGAAGGAACTAAGGAAGAAAGGAACAAAGGAAGGAACGAATGAACTAAGGAACAAAGGAACTAAAAAAGGAAGGAATGAAGGAATTAAGGAAGGAAGGAACAAACAAATAAACAAAGGAAGAAATAAGAAAGGAAAAAAGGAAGAAAGGAAGGAATAAGGAAAGGAACAAAGGTAGAATGAATGGACAAACAAACAAAAGAATGAGCACAAAGAAAATGGGAGCTAGTAAGGACTCTAGGAGGGCAGAATAGAAACAAACATACGAGAAAAAAATGGAAGGATACAAATAAGAACAACTAACACTTTTTTTCATTAGCATATAAAATTAAGTGGAAAACTGCTCCAAGGTTTCCAAGGTCAAACCATGAAATACTTAAATCAATCTTTGCACTGACCTGATTGAACAAAAACACAAAAAAATAAAAAGTCACACTCTAGCAAATGATACGTTTATAGAAGATTTAACAGAACGATGAAAATCTGGTGATCAAGCATGGTCAGAAAGCAGGGAGGGGGTGTTTCTAGTCCTGCCTGAACTTTCTAGTTGCAAAGCCCTGTCAAGATAACAGCTCATAAAATAGAGAGAGAGAGAGAGAGAGAGAGAGAGAGAGAGAGAGAGAGAGAGAGAGAGCACAGAAACATGGGGTGTCTCTGCTGTAAATAAGCCACGTGTTTCAGCCTGCAGTGGTTCACCTTCAGAGACACGGAGTGAATTACACCATAGCTATGTCAAAACAATTGGAATTTAAATCCAACACCTTGGGGTGACTTTAGTCTCCTGAGACGCGGTAATCTACCTTCACCGGTTCAGGGGCTGATTTTTTTTGTTGAGTGAATTATTGATTTCAGCTCAGCATTTTGTAAATGTTTACCTCATGGGATCAAGTGGGGCCTATGAATGAAAATGAAAAACTAAACACTGGAGCAGCTCGTTTTCTGTAAAGGTTTTATATGAAAAGCTTTTTTGTCTCAATAGAACAGATTTGATATTTTTTTAGTCAAACGTAAAGTAACATATAATCAAAATGTGAAATAAAATAGTTTTAATACGCTAAAACAATAGAATAGAAAGTATGAAATGCATTTGCATTCAGCTCCTATAGGTCAACATTTTAGAGAACTAACTTATGCTCACTTCCAGCTGTAAGGATTTTAGAGTAATGTCGACCTTTACACTTTATAGGCTTGTCTTCAAAGGTTTCAAATAAATGACCTTTTTTTTATGTGTACTATAAGTTGCAGTACTACAAAGACTGTTCACGTAAATGTTAGGAAATGTTAGTCCACCCCTATAAAAATGAGCAGATTGTAACGGCAACGGTTTGAGAGAGGCCTTAAAATGATTAGGTTCCTAGCTATAGAAGTGGAAGTAATAATAATAATAATAACTTTTAATTAAATAATAATGATACTAAATCTTAACAATTAGTAATTTGTCTCAGAATTACAGTAAGCATTGCATCGGGCCTGTCATAAGATCACAGATGACGATAGCCATCCACTTTCCCGAAACTTTGAGCTCCTTCCATCCCGGCAGAGATACATACTTCCTTGTGCCAATAAAAATGTGTACAGATACAGTATTCTTCTGTCCCCTCTGCCATAAATGAGCTGAAATGTTGTTACCCAAATGTCACTCAGACTGTTCTGCTTCCTTTCCCTTGATAAAGTGAAGCTGCTGCTGCTGTGTCTGCAATGAACTCTTTTATAATTGTATTTTAATGTATTTTACTCATTGTATTGTGTGACCAAGGCAAAGGCAAATCTCTTTCATCGTTGTGTATCGTAGAAAATAAAGTTCTTCTATTCTATTCTGTTCTAATAAATAATGATAATTTATAGTGCATTTCACATATATAGCCTTAAGGTTCCACAAAAAAAAGTACTCATGAAAAAAACCAAAGATGAAGTTAAATATAAACGATATAAGCATAAAATATGGAAAAGTTGTCCTTGTCTGTTGATTGAGCCCCTCCCCCAATACTGCCACCCTCTGACTATGAAGGAGCCACAGTCAGTCAGTTAGTTACACAGCATATTTTGCTTTAACCAGCTGGATTTACCTTTGGCTGGATTTGGAATTGCTCTGAATTAAGCTCCACCCATCGCCCAGCTTCCTCATCCCTGCTAAAGAAAAACATCCCCACAGCCTAATGCTGCTGCTATATTTCATTATAGGGCACATGTGTTTAGGGTGTTATTTTTCAACCACACAAAGGGCAAAGATGTCTTCTTCAGCCTGTTGGTTTTGTCATTCACATGGGTTTTTATGGATCCCTCTCTCACTCATCAACATATTTCTTCTTGCAATTCCTCAGAAAAGGCCAGATTTGTGCACGTCAACTATTCATAACATCTGTAGGTTCTCCCACTGAGTTCTGGATCTCTGCAGCTGATGTGTAAACAGCTGGTTACTCTTAATTTAGGAGGTATCAAAGTAAATCAGAGTGCATGCATTTGGGATGTATTTGCAAAACATTTGAAAAATAATTTTGAGTCAATAAACCAATAAAATATCACTTTTTGGTCATGGTGAAACCCTAAAAAAAGTCTGAAGGGTATGAATACTTCTGATCAGATCCTTCCGGTCCACCAGTATGAATACCTCCCCTTTAAGGTGTTGCAATGTTTCCCTGTTGGATCAGAGGGGTAACTATTAAGCATGCAGCCTCTCCCTCCAGCTTCTCTCACCCTGCTGATGCTGAACACAAAGCCGGGCTGGCCGGAACAGACGCCCATAAAGCAGAAACGCAGCTGCCAGTAGAACCAGTGCTCGCAGATGAAGGTGATGAGGGAGAGAGCCATGGCGGCGCCCAGCATGTAGAAGACCCCGGCCATGTTGTCCACGTCAAGCTGGCTGGACATCACCTCGTTCTTCTCATGGTGGCAGATCCCCGTCAGCCACAGGGACTCCAGCTCCTCCATCTCACCTGAAGGGAAGGAGGTAGTGACATTGGGGAAAATTAGAGGAAGGACGAAGGCAGGGAGAAGGTGAGGGCTGCAACAGATGGCATGACAGGAGAAGGAGGCATGGGGAGATGGATGAGAGGGAGATGTATGAGGAGCTGATGGGGCACTAAAACAGGTAGCAGAAGCGTAAAATAAAAGGTTTAAACTGAGAGGATGGACGTGATGGAATAAAAGAAAGCACAGGAGGCCCTAAAACGTTGAATGATGATGAAACGGAAGAAAAACATGAGGATGGGATTGGAAGAGGGCAGTGGCCCTCACAGCAGAAAAAAACACAAAACACGTCACATGTTGATGACATCACACTCTTCCTTCTAAACATATGGCTGCAGGTGTCTGCTCTGCGTCTGTTGCTGGCCCGTCAGTAAGCGGTGTCGTTTGCGGGTCACCTTCTGCTGCATCGCAAGCTGCTCTCAATCAGAGCTGAAACGGGGCACGGTGGGAATCGCTTAATTAATCGTACAGTCAGCTGCCTTAGCTACACCATCAGAGGGAGGCAGAGAAGCAGAAAACACAGCAACCTCTGCTGTGCATCTGCCGATAAACTGATAAACACACCTCTAACTACTTTAATTATTTTAAATGTTACAGTTACCTTTTTTTCTTTCTTTTTTTATTCAGTCTTATTAGCAAACAAAAAAAATCACATCTTCAAACTCAAAAGCAAAAATCTTTTTTTAAAAGGTGAAATTGAATGAAATAAATATCTTATATCATCATTCATCTTTGTCACTATTTGCTATTGTCCTAGTCTATTAAACTTGTTTCTATTTAACAAGATGGGTTCATGTTTACTCGCTTAAACTACACGATGGTGCTACTCTAATATTACACAAGTTTTCGCTGGTTGATTAAGAAAAAGTCTATTTAAACTAAATGGAATGTGAGGTTTATGTTTTTGTAGGGCAGCTGTGTTCAAGTTTTCCTCTTACTTGCTTTCAAACAAACCACAGTCCCTCCACACTAAGCCACCGGGCTTTCAGCGTGAGCCGGATCGCTTTCTAGGCCACGAGGAGCGACGTGCCACGGCGAGGCGTGGCAAAAGTGACATTGAAATCCTCAGAGGTTGTGAGACAGGGCCGCTCGGTTCCTGCAGCGGCACAGTGGGCCTTACAGCAAGCCGACCCATATTCATATACCAACTGATAAAAGTGACTAAAAGTTTAGACCAATTAAGTTTGATCAGAAAGTGTTTATAATCATTTTCAATGAGTCAGAAACAGTGAATAAAGATAAAGCTATTGAACTGTTTGCATGACAAACATAAACCTCTGACATAAATAATCAGAAACCTGACACTTCAGTCTCCTTTTCTCACCAACATTCACAGAGGGATGACCCATATTCACATGTGCACGCCTTCACGCACTCACACTAACACACACTCTCACAGAACCCAGTGTCGAAACACACCAGAAGCTATACTGGCATTCCTAACTGGGACACAATAAATCGGGGCTCTGGAGGGGTCTTTGTTTTAGGAACGTCACAATATGTTGGAGCCCATCCAACTGAGCTGGCTACAAGACACGACAAAAACCTTCAGACACATAAAACTTCTCCTAAGCTTTTTTATTCTGTATTTTAACATCTATTCAGAAACGTTAAAGCATAGAGCTGCTGAAACTCTGTTAAAAGAAACCCAGTCAATCTCAGCAACCCGCATTTTTATGAATACGCTGGCTGTTTGACAATAATACTCCCAGTCCAATGACGGTGCCAAACACAAAGCAGATAGAGAATACTGTGAATACAGCATTTTTTTTTTTTTTTTTTAAACACACAAGCACAGACCTGCTGTTCTTCCTTCATAATCCTTTTCATTTCACTTTGTTTCTTCTGAGTAGATGGCTTTTAAACCATTGAGACTGGTTGGAACACAACATATGTCAGAATGAAAGGCTCTGTTTAAAAGGAACCATAACAAGCTGCATAGGAAAGAGTGCTTTTCTGTGAAATCCAAGCAGCTTGACATTATGCTAAACAATAAGTTTCCTAAAGTGAAGGGAAACTTAAAGGTATAGAGGAGGATGTTCTTCTTCCGGGTGGATCATCAAACTAAGTGGTCCTCCAAATTGTTAATCATTCTTTTGAAATGTTTAAGTGAGGCCGTCTGACATGCTTTTTTTCACCTAGTCTGACATAGTGGAAAAATTGCAAATCTTCATTTGTATGAGCTTGTATGAGCGATGCAAACAGCAACTTTTAAACAGAGCGTGCACGAGGAGAAATGGTCTTGTGCATGATCTCGCATGCGTTATATAGGCGTTCCCTCTCAGGAGTGGGTGCAGGGTTGTGCATTTAATTTTTTTCTTTTAAGCAGAAAGTTTTCAAAAATTTGCAAAAATCCTCCGCTATACCTTTAATTGCGTATCTAGATTACTCTTGTGCACCTATAAGTTAACATCCACCAGTTCTTTAACACACAAAACATTCAAGGCTTCATGAATCTTTAAAGAGAATTGCTGGACACAATGACTTCAAATGTTAGCTGGTGACCAACCTGTCAGAGGTAGCAAAAGTATTTTTCAAACATGCATCTTACTCTGTCAATGTGTTGCAAATTATTTTTTTTAAGATGTTAGGAGCAGAAAGATCTATAATATATAATAGAATTCTGCACAAAAATCCCCAGAAAGGTACAATCAGTTTTATGTTTTTAAGGCTATTAACTGAAATGTATCAAAACAAGGAATAAAAAACATTAAATATGTATTGCAGATAACATAATAACAGCCAAAATGTGCAGATAATATTTCAGCAGCGGTTTACAGTAAAGACTGTAAGTTTGAAAAGGATTGGTTGTACTGAACCCGTTTTTTCTGCACAAAGAGAGACTTTCACAGGGCATTTAATCACTACTGTTAGACACACAATAATGTTCTAGATGGAGTGGGAATAAAGTGCATTTTGAAACCCAGAAACCCTGGAGATTTTTTAGGAAAAGTCCAATAAAATGTGAGTGCGCTCATAAAAGAGTGGATCCCCACAGTGAAAGCCAAATCACAGGTTATATTAGAGCTCAGCCTTTATCTTTTCTTTTCTGAAACTACTTTACATTTTATTCACACAAGCCAATTAGAGACAAATCCCTTAGAAAAGCCAGATTTTTCTCCTCAAACTCCAAAACTTAGGCCTAATCAGATGGAAGTAAGCATAAAACTAATTGTTGCAGTCATAAGTCGCAGCACTTTACATAAAAACACACATGCATTTATAAATTAAATTTCAAATAAAAATATACAATGAAAACAAAGAAACATTCAGTGTGTTTTGACCTATCTTTGTTTAGTTTTTTTATTAAGAAGCAAACAGCAATGAAGCATTAAAATGAATAAAATCTCAGAAAATGATCTAATATAAAGGCAACAAACAAAAAACTAATAATTGGAACACGGTGGTTTATCTTTAAAGGTCTGAGCATGGATAGCTGCCAGCAGACATGACAGGCTGACATTTGTTGATGAGCTGACGAATCGAGCAACAGCGTGAATGCAGATGCTTTAAAGGGATAGTGCACCATCTTTCAGGTAACATGTAGAGTGTGAAATCAGTGTCTGGCCTCTGGATGAGAGCCGTCAGCATGATTTCACTTTGACCAATAGAGTATGGAAGAAAAACAGTCTCATTGGAAGCTGACTTTTTTTTAACAACGAATTTTAAACACTGAATTTTTTTAACACCTGCCTTTTTTTTTGTTAAAAAAAGGCAGATTCCAGTGAGACTGTTTTTCTTCCATATTAGAGACTTATTTTCTGTAGGTTGAATAAAATCAGAGGTACAGTTGTCCTTGAAAGTTTACACACCCTTCCATTAAATAAAATCATAAATTCACAGAAGTAATTAAAATAACACATAACAGAAAAAGGAATAATAAAAAATATATACTACGGTAAATGATAATTTAGTATTAAATATTGAATTAGAATTGTTTTATTTAAAATAAATCAAAAACAGAACTGTCCCAGACTAATTAAGTACCTTGCTCATGAACAGTGAACCAAATAATCTGTCAATAGGTGCAGAAGTCTGACTGAATATTTCCTAAACTTTACAGAAAACACCTGATTTCAGTGATTGCCTCAAAGTGTTGCTGTCAAAGTGTTACCTGATCCTGACCTGTCTTCTGACTCCTGCCAGATCTCTGCCTGTTTGTGTACCGTACCTGTAACTGTGACCCTACTCCATCAGAATTCTCCCTCGGCACCTCACTGGATCTCTGAACTCCTGGCTCTGACAATTGAGCATGTCACCGAAATTGGCTTCACACTTTGGATTATCCTGCCTACCTTCCTCGGTTCGGTTCTGATCTCCTGTCTGTCCTCGGATCTCCGATACATCAGCATCTGGGTCTCTCTGTGCAGTGATATATATATAGTTGTTGTGCATGAACGTGTTCACAGAAAACTTTCGTATTTTTAGTGGACATTGGACTGAACGGATAAGTTTTGAAGTAATGAATGTGAACCAGAGCGATGTACACTATGAGAATAATGAGCAACACACACAGCTCATGTTTGGGTTGAATTGATAACAACACTCAGACAGAGAAAAAAAACTGTGCCCACCAAAAAAGTAAATAATAAATAAAAACAAAAAAGTCCGTGCATCAGCGAAGTCCACTTCAAATTTAAAGCGACACATCGAGTTAAAGCATCCAAGCTATCTTGGGAAATATCTGCTACTAAATGAGGAACGTAAGAAATCCTTTTTGATACAGATCTTTTCAGCAGAACCTGAATGTTCCTGTATGTTTCTGAAGTTCTGTGTAATTTGGCTAAATAAAGGCTTCACTGCACATACAGTTTACCTTGACTGCATCGACTAGTTTCAATTTCTTTCTATACATTTTGATCACGCATTTAAAGGGTGAAATATGAGGTTCTATTGTTTACGATTCTGGCTCAGTTTACCAAATGAACTTAAACTAGCTAATCTGTAGGTTTGTGAACCTATGTCATTCTTTATAAAAGGGAACTATTTATTTTTATATAATTATTATCTTGTCAATATTAATTTATTTTATTGGACATCTGATTTTTCGCTGTCTTTATTAGAAGAGAGGGTAAACTTTCAAGCACAACTGTATGGTGTTATAAAGACCATTGAATCTAAATATGTTGTTTAGCTGGAAGACTTGGCCATAAAAGTCTTAGCTATATTATTTGACAATCAGTTTAAAAGCATTCATCTGATTTTGTTCATGCATTATGTCTGCCTGAAGAATCTTATTCCACTCTATATTTGCATTTGAAGACAAATTTTATTAGAAAAATAACTCTGTTTCATCACAATGTAAACAGAGCTGACCAAACTGTTTTTGCAAAAACCTAAAGATTTCCCACATAAATGCCACAGCTCTGAAACCTCCTTTATGTAGCATACACTCACTGCCCACTTTATCAGGCAAACCATTCTATTACCGGGTCGGAACCCCTTTTGCCTTCAGAACTGCCTTAGATTAACATAGATTAACAAAGTACTAGAAACATTCCTCAGAGAGTTTGGTCCATATTGACATGATAGCACCAAACAGATGCTGCAGATTTTTCCGCTGCACATCCATGATGCAAACCTCCCGTTCCACCACAACCCAAAGATCCTCTATCAGATTGAGATCTGGTGACTTTGGAGACCATTTGAGTACAATGAACTAATCGTCATGTTCAAGAATCCAGTCTGAGATGATTCCAGCTTTATGACATGGCGCATTATCCTGCTGAAAGTAGCCATCAGAAGTTGGGTACATTGTGGTCATAAAGGGATGGACATGGTCAGCAACAATACTTACTCAATTGGTACTAAGGTGCCCAAAGTATGCCAAGAAAATATTCCCCACAGCATTTCAACACCACCACCAACCTGAAACGTTGATATAAGGCAGGATGGATCCTTGCTTTCATTGATGGTAAATTCTGACCCTACCATCCGAATGTTGCATCAGAAATCAAGACTCATCAGATCAGGCAAAGTTTTTCAATCTTCTATTGTCCTATTTTGGTAAGCCTTTGCCAACGTAGATCAGTTCCCTCTTCTTAGTTGACAGAACTGGCATCCAGTGTGGTTTTCTGCTGCTGTAGCCTATCAGCATCAAGGTTCGACATGTTGTGGATTCAGAGATGCTCTCCTGCACACCCCTGTTTTAAGAAGTTTTTTTTTTTATTTACCTTAGCCTTTCTATCAGCTCAAACCAGTCTGGTCATTCTCCTCTGATCTCTGGCATCAACAAAGTGATATGTCCCCACAGAACTACCGCTCACCAGATATCTTCTCTTTTTTGGATTGTTCTCAGTAAATCCTACAGATGATTGGGCGTAAAAACATGCAGCTGGTCATCTTGCCCATATATTCCTAAATGCATTCAGTGGCTGCCATATGATTGATGATTAAAAATGTGCGTTAACGAGCAGCTGGAGAGGTGTTCCTAATAAAGTGACCAGTGAAGTGCACCACTACTGCAGAAACTAAGTGGGAAAGTCACACCAACCAATATTAATCCTAAACCATGTTGTGCCCATGCTTTACTGGGACGGCAAAAACTGAAAGATAAATGTCAGATATACCTCATTCTAATTAACGCAGCTGACAATTATGTGAAAAAGTGATGTACCTGTTCATGACGCCTCACTGTGCACTCCCTCCCACTACTCTCAGCATAATCAAACTAATCAAAGGAACAAAAATACTTTTACCAAAATCTCCTCCATTTTCTACATTTTTGTTACTTTTTTTTTTTCAAACGTAGCTTATATGACTTTAATGGAAATAGTATAAAATTAGGTTTACACTTAAATATCAAGTGATAACATTTCATATTTCTATGAATATATAATGAAAGGAAATAGTTTTTCACCTTTCCACGGACGAACTAAGCCAAAGGAAAGGTGAGTCTTTGCGGGAGGAATGGATCTGTGTCATTGACTGACTAACGTCTATTGAGCACCTAATGTTAAGTCTCCATTTTAATCAGCTGTTGCACTGGAAGATGGTTATTCTAGTCATCAGTGCTTCCATTACTGCCTGTTTTACTGTACCCTTGTGTCACATGGACAGAAGGATGTTAGCTGCCAGCCTATGAGTACACGTGGTTGAATTCAGATATTGTTGGCCACAGTCTAAAAGAAAAATGCAGCAGTCTTTCATCTGCACATGCATATAATTGCTTATGTTATCCTAGAGAAAAACATTAGCATCAGAAAGCTTTGGTGTAATTGTTTCCTGCACTTTAGTTCTAAGCCGTTCAGCTGACTTCCGTCCAAAAGCACCTGGCACGCATGCCATTTCATCAACAAATGACTTGATATGCACAACAAGCTGTCCATTTGAAAACGATCTTAGCTTGACTGAATCTGTGTCCGTTCACACCTGAGTGCAATACACTACTGATACCATGAGGCAATAGCAATGCACTAAATTACTATCAATCAATGACGAAAAACTTTGCTTTATTTTTTCAAGCATAATTTTCCTTATATATTTATTGTTTATATTGATTTCAATTTTTTTTTTTTCTTTTTCTTTGATGACATTTTTTTTAGCTAAGTCCTTTTACGATTTTTGGGGGTTTTATAGAGACAAATGGTGCTTTGTTTAGGGACAACAGATGAAAAATAGCCTTTTAGCATATTCTGGCAAATTTAAATATTGTGAATCAATGTGCAATGTCTCTAACTAATAAATAGATCCTAATAACACTTAAATCTAACATGCCAAGCTCAAAACCAGATTGTGGGTGCACACAAGGCCAGCCTGCCTGAAAGTCAGGTGCAGCAAGGAATCTTGAGATGCTTTTGGTGATGCCAGGAGTTTAAATTTGTGCTTTCTAGCTTTTGAAGCAAACTCACTGTTCTGTAATCCCTGTACTTTTAGTGCTTCGAGGACCTTCCAACATCCACATGGGTATTATACTGTACAACTATTCTGTAACTGTACCATCAAGACAATGCACGGTTCTGTTGGTCCTGCAGAGATTCCCCTTTCATCTCTTTAACAATGTCTTTAAGCTGCTTGACTGCACTGCATGTAAGGTACCACATACTCGTGCAACCAACTGTTCTTTAGGATGTGGTTAAACAAATAGGGAATAGAAGCTGGTCATCTGAAGCACAAATCCAGAGTTTACCAAGCTTTCACTAGTAAACGCTAAACATTCCTTGACTCCTTCCTAAGTAACCACCATAAACATAGCATAAAGAGCCAAGGCACAGATATGTGTTTACCCTTAATTTGTCCCTCTAGCACATATCCTGCGAAAGAATATAAAATAAATCTTCCTAAAAACTTAAAATGTTTTCCTCTGACTGGAAATAGACCCGTCTGGTATCTCCCTGGTTTAGGTTTGCAGCTAACTTCTCAATATGCACAATGGTTGAACCTTTCTTCAAGCTCAGTTTGAGTACTGTTTTAATGCCAGCTTTAGTTCTCCTCATGACTACAGTGTCATCATTGTTAAATCAGTTTAATTCCTCCTTTCTGGTGTGCTTCAAGGTCGTTGAGAACTTGGGATCTTTTGCCCTAGAGGGTAAAATAAGGTTCTAGGAAATATCTGATGCATTTTTAAGCGATTAAACCACTAATCACATCAGAGCAGCTTTATGCATGATGGAGCCTGCTTGCAGGGAGAACTAAGCCGAGCAGAATCTATGAATAAAACAGTGTAGGAAATGACCAGCTTTGCTCACCGTCTCCAAAAAGCTGCAGGATGGCCAGGTCCACGTGTCTCTTCCATCCAGACTCCTTCTGGATGGCGATGCCATATCCTGTAGTTGCAAAGATGTAGCCGCTGCCAATGGTCACCAGCTTGCAGCCTTCATCCCTGCCAGCCATGTAGTTCAGAACGGCTGCATCGTAAATGAAAGCATCTAATTTGCTGAAGAAAGAGGGTAAGAGACGGAGAAAAAAGAATAGAGAGAGACAGGTTACAATTAATTAGCACTTAGAAGTCAGACAGCACAGCTACAACATTCCAATTAACCTGCTAAATAGTACTAAGCTACTGATAAGAGTAATAGACTTTCACTTGGTTTGCCAGTGACTGGAGGTGGTACAAGGGCGGGTGAATGCTAGATGGACACTGAAGAGGGTGAGTGAGGGTATTATTGGGGTTATTCAGGTGTTTTATGGTTTTACACATTAATATACAGAAAAGTATTTTAACAATGATGTATCTAATGTTCAGCAATGCCATTAATTTCATTTCACAAAATCAGGTTAAATATTTACAAAATCGAGCTGACTGATATATTGTAATTCATGCTTTCCAGTGAACTGCTACAAAAGACCTTTCAAAAACACATCCAATGATGGTTGTCAACAGCATTTGTTAATTAGCATTTCCATTGCATTGTGAAGCCAAGAGTACAGTCTGCTATCACCAAATCCTCCATATATGTTAATTTTTCCTCTATCCTATATCTTAACATATTTTGGCTTCCCATGTTTTAAAAAATGCTCTTTTATTTTGTAAAGACAGGCAATCTAATAAAAACATGTTACATTTGGTCAATCAAATGTTTTGCTATAACATAGTTTGTATTGCTATATCTGTATCACCTGTTGTGCATCAAAACTCTCTGGAAGTTTCTCAAACTTTTTTCCTCTCTGCTGGACCCAAAAGATCCGTTTTGGATTGTTTTTGTATCTAGAGTCTATTCTGTTTATAAGTAGAACGTTGCAATGCAAATGGTTTGATGACTAAAATATTTAAAAGCCTTTTTTTAATCCAACATGTTTATATTGTATGTAAATCATTCTGCACATTATGCATCTGTATGCACTAATCCAGCGACCCTACATAATCTCATACTATGCAGGTTTTCTGCCTGCATATTATGCATAGCATTGCAATGCATTTGTAAAGACTCACTCACCTCAGCATGCTAATAGTGGCTTCAACAACACGGTAGTTTAAACTACAAAACAGGCTTAAACAAGAGGGCAACCAGACCTTCACTCAGTTCACTCAGACAGTGAATACAGTACGGACACAACTGGAATACGATGGAACCCTGAAAGACAGGACTACTTTAAAAACCTGACCAGATTTGTGACCTGTTGGACCTCAGTCTATCTACCACATACTTAAAATACAGTGACAACCTTTACTGACAGAAACATGAGTGCACCATGGCCTCCCTAGTTTCACCCATAGTTGTCGATATCTATAGAGGAGGTGGAGAGCAGAGCACTTAGCCCTTAAGAATACACAGCCAACTCACTGGTTCAGATATGTGGATGACACCCGGGTCAAAATCCAAACCCGGGAATTTGAGACATTCACCAATCATATCAACTCAGTGGATAGAAACATCAATTTCACCAGAGAGGATGCCAGTACCAGCATGTTGCCCTTTCTGGACTGTACTGGGCACATTGAAGACAATGGAAGTCTTAACACTGAGGTTTACAGGAACTGAACAACATGTGCATTTTGACTCACATCGCCCACTGGAACATAAACTTTCTGTGATCAGAACTCTGAGTTACCAGGCTGACAATAATACAATTACAAAGGAGAAACAAAAAGAACACAAACATGTAAGAAAATCACTTGAAACTTGTTGTTATTCATACTGGGCATTTGTTAAGACAGCCAAAAAAAAAAAAAGGAAGAACAACACTGCGTCTAACACAAAGTACGAAGTAAAAACACAGTAATTACATATGTGCCAGGAATTTCGAAAAAACTCAGAAGCATTTTCTCTAAACTCAAAACACCAGTGAATGTCAGATCCAACAACAACAAACTCAGGCAAAAAGTGGTTCATCTTAAAGACAGAGCACTCAAATTGGGTGCTGTGTTTGTGATCCAGTGCAGGGAGGACTGTGCAGCCTTCTATATGTGAAAAACCAAACAACAATTACAGAAACGCAAGGCACACTATGGGAGAGGCAGTAACTGTGGCCAAGATTTAGCAGTACACTTGCACTTCAAGAACAAAAGACACACCTTTGAAGACCAAGATGTGGGGGGACTATGCAAGCACTCCCATCATAATTCAAAAGACCAATCACATAGTCCATGCACAGCAAAAGATTGCAACAATCCAGAAGAACAAAGGATGCCGATTTGATGAGCTTCTAACTTAGAATGTGCTTTGGAATCTTTTCTACAGCCTAAACTAAAGCAACTAAATATTCAAATGAAGTAATGATGATATAGTGACATATTACTTTTTGAAAAGCCAATAGCGACTTTTTTGTTAAAGCTACAGTGTGTAATTTTCAGCGACATCTAACGTCCAGACTGCAGACCGCAGCAACATGAACATCTCCCCCCCACCGCTTCTCCCCCCAACAGTACGGCAAGCGTTACAGGACAAAATGTCTTCCACGACGTCCGCATCACCTACCTTCTCAAGTGATGAGGTTTGTTTACATAGATAATTTTACAGATAGTATTTCATTAGTCTGTGTGTTCAGTACCGTCTCAGTTCATCTCTCTCAACTTGCCGTAGTTACTTTAGAGCGTAATGGGCGATCTCGCAATTGCTAGTTTGTTGGCTCTGCGCTGCCGTAGCGCAAAGATGTCTGCCTCCATGGCTGCGAGACCCGCTCCTATGTAATTATAAATAACGAATTCTAAGGCAACGCAAATATTAAGGTTAAGAGGCTGAGCTCGTAGAAGATGATAAATGACGTCGTTATGTATAATATATTACATTTCTGACTGTATATCCCTGTAATTATTACACACTGTAGCTTTAAGTTTTAGCAACGGTGCAAAGACGATAAGGTCCAAAATAACTTAGCTTGTCCAACACAATGGTGGATTATATTTTCCAGCCCTTGTTCTAATATAAATGCAATATAAAAACTGTTGGTGCATTAAAGACTACAAAAATATTTTTATAGACATGGAAAGCAGTTTGTTTGGATCCATCTAAAAGACATTTTTAAACTACAAGCATATGTGGCAAGATACAAAACAGCACGACAGAATCCTAAAACTCAAGCCTTCCCACAGACAGGGGAGCGTAAATGTGTTTGTAACAGCCTGATTGCACTGTGTACACACTGCAGATGACTTGTGCCCTCCAGGGAAATTTTCAGCAACCTTCACTATAATAAAAAGGTGAAGTTTATTATAAGTCCATTTTCACAGTTCATTTATACTTCAAAGAATGTTGTTGTGTTGCCTGTAAAGGAACACTTTTTGGGAAACATAACAACTTATTATCTTTTCACGGATATTATATCCACTGTCTCTGAATGTGATTAGGAAGTACTGGTTGGTAAAAATTATTTTATCGGGTTGTAAAAATGCCTGAATGAAGTCAAGGTCCCTACCCAGCCTTCAGACTCTGCAGAGCTTCATTGACATTCCGCTGATGGAACTTGGTCATGTAGGAGTGCATTTCTGGATAGTTGTTCCTGATGTTTCTCTCGGTACTCCCATTCGGCACCGTGCCAAACCGGAACGGAGGAGAGAAGTCATTGGGACTCTGGAACTAATCATTGGAACAGAATTGGGGGGAGAGGGATGTAAAAATCCTGACAGATTATTTCTAATGGATGCAATTAACCCTCGAAAGGTTAAAAACCCTCATCTTACCTTCTTGTCTGAGAGACCAGTGACCTGATCCACATATTCCTCTTGGATCATGAAAGCAGCCAGGTTGGCAGTGTATGAGGCCAGGAAAATGACAGCGAAGAAGGCCCAAACTGAGACCATGATTTTACTGGTGGTACCTTTGGGGTTCTGGACTGGCACAGAGTTGTTGAAGACCAGACCCCAAAGCAGCCAAATGGCTTTACCGATGGTGAAAGACGGGCCATGAGGTTCTGAAAGAAACAAAGAAAAGTATTTATAAGAAATGAAACAATGGGATGACTTTGTAAAGCAGCAGATTGCAAAGGTTTTATCTAGCAACCGTATTTTGTTTCTTTACGTTTTGCAATATTACATATTACTAATATGAAAAGTTTTGGAGGGATTTTTATGTAATAAACCAAAACCAAGTAGCCTAAATGAAAGTAAAATAAATAATAAATAAAAACAGATCAAATTTATTTTAAAGGAATAAAAAATGTGGAACCATTTATTAATTCTACTGTTGATATTTTTGATAAACTTTAGTATAAAACCCTGAAATGAGAAATCTCAAAACTTCTCACTTAAATACTGTACGTAATTTGTCTTTCAATACTGTAACATGTCCAACAAAAATAAAAACTGCTAAAGTTATACTTGTTTTAAAATCAGGGGACAGACATAATTTCAATAACTATGTATAGGCCTCTTGCCTTGCGAGCACAATTTTCTAAAATTCTTGAAAATCTGTTTAATACTCGAATTGAAAAATGTATAACTAAGAACAACAAAAATTCTGATTGTCCATATGGCTTCAGGTTAAATTATTCTAATTCATTAGAAATTATAGATTCAATTGAAAAAATAGCAAGTGCATTAGTTTAAAAAATTTAAAAATTGCATGCAGTGCATCGGATTAAAAATGCATGCATATTTGTTGATTTAAGCAAAGCATTCGATACTATAGATCACACCATTTTACTCAGAAAATTGGAACAGTATGGGATCAGGGATATCACAGTCTTACATTCGGTTAAAAGTTATTTAAGTGTCAGGAAACAATTTATAGAGTTAGGAAAGTATCCTTCATGAAGTTTGAACACTACCCGAGGAGTACCACAGGGGTCAGTGTTTGGACCTAAGTAGTTTAACCTTTTTATTAATGCTTTTTGGTTCTGGCAGTGACCTTAGCACATTGGTCAATGATAATATATAATGATGTGGGTCAAATAAAACAGATATATCTCACCTTTCAGGTGAAACCAGTATTCAACTAGTAAATAAAATGAGATATTGTGGGGTAGTTGTGGACAGTCAAATGAGTTGGAAATTTCATATTAGGTATCTACAAAATAAAGACTCAAACAGCAATGCCCTCCTTAATAGAGCGAGAGACTTTTTTGACAACAAAGCCCTTCATATATTATATTGTTCACTTATTTTACCATATCTCACATATTGTGTTGAGGTTTGAGGAAACGACTATAAAACAAGCTTGCAGCCATTATTTACTCTATAAAAAGGGCAATGACATACCTCCATAAATTTGGTTATTTACATTATACCAATCCACTATTCTTTAAGTCTAAATTAGAAAAATGCACAGATCTCATAGCTTTTTAAACATTACAAATAGTTTTCAAAGCTAAAATAAAATTATTACCTAAGGATATTCAAAAACTTTTAATTGAAAGGGAAGAAATGCTTAACTTGCGATATAAATGGAAATTTAAGGCAGGAGGTGTGAAGGCAGGAAAAAATGTTTTTGTTTCAGTGAGCGGAATTAGATTATGGAATACTTTGTGTATAGAGTTAAAAGAATGTGTGGTTATAAAATTGTTCAAAAAGAAATATAAGGACAGGATTTCCTGGAATTATGAGAGGGATGAAACAAACTTGTAAAAGGTACATTGTTCAACATTTTTATGTAAATTATGTAAAACTCTATCATGACTGATGTTAAACCAGAAAAGGAGGGAGGGTTTAAAATAAGTGTAAACATTTACATGTACGAACATGTACTCTTATGTTTAATAACATTATGTATGTATTAATTAACAAAATTGGTTTAGCAGCCTTATGTCTGAAAACACTACATGCTCTGCATTTTTCTTTTTCTAAGATAATGTCTTTTATGCTTGTTTGAAATAAACAAATAACTACTACCAAAAAAATTTTTATTGTGAGGACCTGCTTTCAGAATTCCCTAATAGAATCCATACATGTGATCAAAGTTAATAGTTATGTGTTGTAGAAAATTTAGACTGCAGCAGTGATCGACTGATACAGGATTTGTAAAGCTGGTGCAGACACAGTCTATTTTCACATAATTTTAAATGATTCTCAGCGTATGCCAACAATGTTTTTGGACTGATTCTTTGAAAGTGATTTTTCTTCCTCCAAAACTATGCAATATATTAAAAACAAATATTACAGAAGTATCAGTTTAAACAAGAAAACCAAATCTTTAGTAACAAATTGAACTAAACATTAACAATAGTAATTTGAATGAACGTCATGTGATCTCATGGCATAGCTGCTGATTGCTCTAATGCAGTGACTCCCAAACCTTCCTTTTCCAGGGCCCCCCTTTGTTTAACCCTTTGTGCAACAATCCATGTAGATTAAAAATACATGATTTTACACTTATTATCAGCTTGGATATATAAAATAAAATTTGTAGATTGTATTTTTTCCCCTTTTTGATGATATTAATGATATATAACAATAAAACATTTGATTTATCGGTACTTTTAATAAAAAATATACTTTACACGGTTATTGAAAGCTTTAAAATGTGGAGGAGGATCTTAGAGTGGATGCTTTATGGAGCCAGTGAAGATGTTTTAGGAGGGGGGTTTCACAGTGCTTTGAATGTAACTTACATTTTGACCTCTTTTAAAGAGGTCTCTTATGTCTCATACAACCAAACACATGCACGCATATCACACCAATTCAAAGATTTGTGTAAATTAAGACATCTGATATTGCAACCCGCCTAGATTAAATGATCAAAGTGAAGAACAAAACATTTAGCAGATTCCCTGGCAATCTGTTTGCTGACCCGTGTTCTTCTCCAAGACCATAAATTCAGCAGCGCTGTGATTGTCCAATCACAGACCTGATTCAGTGGTGCATAAAGTGAGCTTCTCAGGAGTGATCGCACTGACAGCCAATCACACAAGAAAAGACAGAGGGCCATTTAGGAGCTTGTAGGTATAAACTCAGGGACGCGGGCTTCAGATTAAGAATGCACATTGCCCTAAACATCTCTTCTTAAATTGAAAAGAGGCTGGCTTACATTCCAGTAGAACAACCATAAAAATACAGCAAAGGGCTTCAATCAAAGCTAATTCATGTGTTGAATGGCCCCAAATCCAACCCTTAACAGCTATACTTCAGCTCCACTCTAATCTATATTTTGAGAATGACCAAAACAAAACCCAAATCTCTGTATTTGGGTGGATTAGTAAGGAATTAGGAAAAGTGTCAGAGTGTTCCAGAGAGTATCTAAAGGAGTTTACTTATTGCTTTAACTCGTTAATGGAAACGTTTTTTTGGTACCAATCATACCTTAAAGGTATAGTGGAGGATTTTTGCAAATTTGTGAAAAGACCCGCCCTCTCCACCCCAAAAAAAGCACATGCACAATTCTGTACCCACTCCCGAGAAGCAATGCCTATGCGAGAGCATGCACGAGCCCATTTCTCCTTGGCACACTCTGTTTAAAAGTTGCCTTTTGCATCACTTACTTATACAAGCTTACTTTCCAAAAGAAGATTTGCAATTTTTCCAATATGTCAGACTCACCACCTGTAAGTTAAGATGGGGACGAGAACGTAGGAAGGCCTTACGTAAACATATCACCAGAATGATTGACAATTAAGAGGACCACTTATTCAGATGATCCACCCAGAGAAAGAACATCCTCCACTATACCTTTAATGAAATTGTTCAGTTTATCTATGAGCTGCTTTTTTTCTGTGATAAGCCGTTGGGTTTTTCATGTTTGTGTGGGTTTGTGTATGTGCACGTATGTGGGTGTATGTTTTGTTGCACAGATTTATTTTGTTCTTGGACAAACTGATTTTTTATAGTGGCAAACATTCCTCTGTAGAGTCTGTCAGCCAGAGCGCTTCCTAAATGGACCCAGGGAAGTCTTTACAACCCTGCTACGGACTCATTGATACATTATTGCGTCAGGTCCTTTGACAGCAAACTTCGATCTGCACTCTTCATGATACCAAATTCCCATGAGGTAAGAAAAAGAAAAGCAGGAGGCCCATAGAAGAGAAGAGAGCTTTAGGGATGAGTTCATCTTCTCCAGAAGATGATGAAGGAGGAGAGGGATGAAAAAAAGATAACCACTGTCTATATATAGACACATCAGAGATAGACTAGAGGGAGATTGATTTTCCTCCCTTTTTTTTGTCTCTCATCTGTTAAGATGGAAAGATCTAAGAGAAAACCAGCCTCATGGTGTCAGAGTTAACACAAGATTTTTAGGAGGAAATATGGAAATTTATGCAAACGACAGGTCCAGTGTGAGCAAGCGGCAGTGGAGTTTTGCTAAAATTTGTGTTTAGACCCAGCTCCATATGATAAAAAGAGAGCAGAGAGGTGAAGAGAAGGAGGAGGAGGATGTGGAGGAGGAGGAAGAGGAAGAGGAGATGGGAATAAAGGCATTGGGTCAGTGAGAACGGCTGGTTTATGTGCGGAGGCGGCCTGCGGTGTGTTTCTCTGCCTGTCCGTCTTTGTCCACGGGAAAAAAAAAACAATTTCTGCCACACAATCTGTGCTTGTGTTGTTGCAGAGAGAGCGGCATCATCTGCCAAGCATCTGTACTTGAAATCGAATGCTAAAGGAAAGCAGCGAGTTGAAGCATTACTCATCTAAGCCTCTTTGTTTAATAGAGCAATGCACCGACTGCCATTTTCTCAACATAGACTTTAAACTTAATTTTGTCATTTTATTTTTCCTGTACCTGTAAAAGCTGCTCTGTATTTTTTTTTTTTTTTTTTTTGAGATTTGCAGAATCACAGAAAGGGGTTGAAAGCTAAACAGGAAACTGTGAGTTACTTTCTGCAGGAGCTGGAAGGAAAACATGACTGCATGCTGAAAAAGAGAAACTCGGAAACAGAAAAAATGTGAAGGTTTTTAATATCTATTCAACTGTTTGCTTGCTTTGATTTGATGCTTTTTGTTCTTAAAGCAAACCCATAAAACACTTAAACTCACAGGAGGGAAGAAACGAGTTACATTTACTGAGTTACAGTTACCTAAGTAACTCAGTTACAGTTACCTAAGGAATCATCTTCATAAAATATCTCTACTTTTACTTGATTAAAATGTTTGGCTACACCATAATTTTGGAGTGACTTTCCTGTTTTAAACACCAGATGTCATCTAGATGTTGGTTTTTAGGCTAAATCTGGTCCTTCATAGTCTGGATTTAGTCCAAAAACACTTGGAAATTGGACTAAGTTTGGTCAGTCTTATTTGATCCCACTTTAGTCCAATAAAATACATTAAAAACTGTTTTTTTTTAAGTCTTTTCAACAACCTTAAAATTGCGGCTTTTCCTCTTTCACTTTTCAACCAAATGTAGATGTTGTTTGGACCTAAATCATGTCGCATTTTCAATGTCCTTTCAAGCAATTTTTGCTTGGTGGAATACTTGAACCTTTATCTTCTTTTTAGGTCAAAATTACATAGTAAGATCTAAACATCCTGCTTTATGTTTTAAAGAAAATCTGTTTCTTCTGCCTGGAAATGTTATTTTTCAGCTACATTATTTGTTTGTTTTAATACGTTTCTTGTTGTCTATAACTAAAATACCAGAACTTGCGGATAACTTTTATTCATTGTCTCTCCTTATTAGACGATTTGAAATAAAAGATGTACTGATGAGTCACATAACACTTGTATAGCCCTTTTATAGGACGCCTTTTACTTTTACTTGAGTGTAAATATGATGAAGTACTCTTAATTTAATAAAACTTTTTGATACTTTACCCCCCCTTCAGTTTAAATCTGTAATGATTTGCAGAGTGCTATGAAGCATCCTTTGTTCCTACATTTCTTTATGCACAAAGATGTAAACAGAAACAGAGGTGCTTTCTACTATTAAATCTCCAAGAGTCAACACTAAATCGGATAATGAATATGTAGTGTCCTGATATTCAATTAAACCATATACAAACACATGTATAGAGTATAGTGTAGCATTTAAGCTTTTACAATCAATTAACTGTATTCTCTTTTCCCAGATCCAGGGAAACAAAACAAAAATGTTGAATGACCTATAATTAGTTCAATTTCATGACCCAAATGATTTTTATTTATATTTCTTCTTGAATAGTGTAGAAATTAAGCAAATCTTAATATATGACCTAGCAGCAGGAAAAAATTTTGCCAAAAATTTTTAATAAAAGTCCAAATTGGGCCAAATGAAAGTAGCAACAATTCATAAAAACCATCAGTTGAATATAAAAGCAAAATTATGACCAATTTAGGACATATATTTATCATGGAAAGCGCTCTGCGATTGTTGCAACAGATGATTGTTCGCCCACGTTTGAAATTCAAGTTAAATAAAAGTTGACCAATTGCCAGAGATATAAATTGAAAGACTTTGAAATGACAGAACAGCAAATCACATATGACATAAAGCCAAATATGGCAGAAAGTATATATTAATACATTAACAAAATAGTAATTGGGGCTGGACAGACGCACCACACAATATTTTAACAATTCAGATAATTAAAAAATGATCAAAGTAGGTAATGCTTTCTTAAAAGTGCGTAGTAAAAAAAACTGTATCCTATAAGAGGTACTACTTTAAGAATACAATTTTTAGTCATAACTGATGGAGGTTTGTGAGGAAATCATCAGAGTAACCACATGTTCAAGAATACTAACCCTATGGAAAAAGTATAAATCAAAATTTTTCTTGGGGGGTGCAGGGATTTTACCAGAGGTAGCTATACCGCCTCCATTTTGGTTGGTAAAATATTTGTGGTTTTAACCTCTGCTCTAAAGGAGGCCACACCCCAGTTTGGTTCAGATTGCTCACCTCTGCCATCAGCCAGACAGCGGTTGTAGCCCACGGGGCTGAAGTACTCGAACACGAACACAGCCACTGCTGACACCAGCAGCAGCATCACGAACATCATCACCCACACATCGGCGCTAAAGGGCTCTGAAGGGGTGAGAGGGGGGAGAAAGAGATGAGAGAAAGATAGAGGAAGACAATGGATTGATAAAAGCAGGACGCAGGGTGAGAAAAAGATAAAGAAGAATTAAGATTTGAAGAAAAGGGATGTAAGGAGGCAGGAGGTGGGGAAGAAAAGAGGCAAATGAGGAGGGAGGAAAAGTTTCCCTTGAGCAAGGGCAGCGAAGAGAAAGAGAAAATGAAGCAAGAGAGATATGCAAATGTGGTATGTCATATTGAAAAGAGGATGGGAAGCGTCAGAGAAATTGAGTAGGAGTGGGAAACATAAGAGGGCAAAGAGAAAGAGAGAGAAATAAAAACAGCTGAATTATCATGCAGCTTAGAAAACCTTGTCAGAGAAAGTTTAATAAAACTTATTTTAACATATTCTAACCTGTTAAATCCCTTTTGACACATTTAATCTATTAATGACATCATATCTAATGAAAACCACACCGCCATGATATGAAGATAGCCTTGCACAGTGAGCTAATACCCCGACCATGTCTACCATACATGCCCACCACACCGACAGCAGCAAGTTACTGCGTTAAAGCTGCGCATCCTTCCACCGCGGCTACAGGATCCCCTCTTACCATGAAACCACAGCAGCCAATTAATTCTTTCCATTCTTCTTTGTGATGTGCAAAATGAAAAATTCAAAGGAATTTAAGAAAATCATAGACACAATCCAGAAAGCTGGTCAAATGAGGCGAAAAATCCCAGCAGAGCTGCACATTAAGCTGTATATCAAAGTGTGCAAATATGTATTCATGCTCTATTTGAAAGTTTTCATACGGTTGAATTACTTCCTCAGCATGTCTTCCACTTGTGCATAGATAATGCAGTCCTTATTTAATTCAGGTGGGACGAACCAGGGAAACATAAAACATTCAGCCCGTAATTGCCATTGGACACCACTGCTCTAGGTTATCTAGATGGTAGACAGTAAACAGCACATGTTGATGTAAACCTTGACTGACAGATAAAAGTAATAACCTTTCCCTCTAAGACATTGCTTGTTATTGTTTCAATGCAAACTGGAACATAACTCTATGGTGCATATCAATCCCAGCTTATGCCTTCCATTGAAAACATATCACTATATAACATATAGTGGTTTAATACACCTTTTAGACCTAATGAAAGGTCAATATTTACTCACCTAAAAATGCTGAGGGTGAAACAGTGCCATTACTGCGGGAAACCATGACACTAATTCCTGTTTCTATGAAGGGAACAGAAAAATCTATAACCTCAGAGCGCTCCTCGTTGATGGTTAGGGATCCGACAGCCATGTGGGCATTTTTTAACACAACCTGCAAAAAAAAAGGAGAAAGAAAACAGCATTTTTTGGTTAAGAACACGTTGGCTATTTTGGTACTGTTGATATAAGGAGGCCTTTTAAAGAAGGCAAGAAAAACATAAACAAATGTAGTTAAATATATTAAATTTAGCAGGTAACTGGTTAATCTGCTGGTAAAATTGCAGAACAAGGGGGTCTTGAGTTACAGTTTTTGAAGGAATTGATTCTTAAATACTTTTTGTTTTGTCAACATCCGCAGCATTTGTGAGGCACCATTTTGGGTGGAAGTGAGAATGGTGAAATGTTGAAATGGTGAAATGGTGAAAGAGTGAGAGGCCAAATCCAAATGTTTTATAAGCACTGTGAGAGCCCAGCTTGTGGCTATGGTGATTTTTAATATATATGTTTTTATTATTTTTATTTTTTAGTTTTTAGCTTTCTTTACATATACACATGTACTCACAATTTTAGTTTTGTAGTTTTTAGTTTTTTTATATTCATAAATTGTCCTTTTTAAAAAAAAATATCGATTACACAAGGATAATATGCTTTTATAATCGAAAGGGTGGACTGTTGTCGGAAAATTTTTATCTCTCTTCTATTATATATTAATTTATCCTATTTACTCACCATAAAAGTTTTCACTCAGTCTGTTTTACTTTCAAGGCCACAGATTTCTCTCCAGGATGTTGCTTGTAGACCAGACATATCTTCTTCCCATAACAAATCAGATTCTTTCTCAAAAGGTTTATTCATAACATGTTACTGTTTAACCAAAGTGTTTGTAATTTGTTTTGACCCTGCTACTTTCCATTGTTGTAAGTAAGGGGGAACGAACGCTGTCCAGATCAGATCAGGGCAGAATGCTGTGGCATTAGGGCCGTATGATGAACTGTTCTCTCTTTGCAAAGATATGAATAAATGTGCCGACTGAGTGAAATCCATCGATCTCTGTTTATTTAACTAGGATGAATAGTTTAATACTTTTTTCCCACGACAACTCTAACTTTTTTAAAGTAATTCCCAGAAAAACATCAAAACCAATCAGATACTGTAGCGTTGATGTCACTCAGCAGTCATGATCCAAGATGTTTTCAATTTTAATAAAAATGTAGAATTTACTTGATCTATATTGGTTGAATGAAAGTTATTTTTTTTTTTATATATATAAATTGTTTTGGACCCATGATTAATATGGGCTCAAGTGTAATTATTTCCACAACGGACTGTATTGTCTGACTATCTTTTCTGCCAAACAGATTGTTTTGCCAAACCACCACTAAAAAAGGATTCTTATAAGTCAAATTAACCGGGTCATAATTAAAGAGCAGATTGCAGGTTAGAGCCTCACCCAGAAATGCAAAATATTTGCGTTTATGACCAATAAAAGGGACATTTCCCTTTTATTGGTACATTTACCCTATTAATATACACTTCAAACTCGATCCATTAGACAATACTTAGATTGCATTTGTCAAAACATTTAACCTACAATTAGCTTTTTACGATTTTTGTCCTAGAATTCAAAGTGATCAGTTAGGAAATAAGCCATGAAAAAGCCATCTCACATGTAAATGCTAAAAACTTTTCACAAATGACCAACAACAAAGTTTAATTTGGTTTTGATGTCTCTGTGTGTTTACTTTAGAGAGGCACCATGGGGGCTTAAAGCTACCCCGCTGCTATGTACAATTATTTTTATTGGTTGATTTGTATCACAATCTTCTAGCTTTACAGCTTGATAGTGAGATGTAGCAATTATAGTCTTTGCAACCAGATGGCACAAGCATGGCATATCTAAACAAACAGAATGTCTTGCTATTTACACACACTGGATGGTTTCAGCTGACATGTATGTGAACTTCAGCTTATAGTAGTTCTTCAGTGGTTATGCTAAAACACATAACTGTTAAAAGGTAACCCTACTTAGAAAGGGACAAGTCTAAAATTAACTTTATGTACAAGACTTTACATCAGTTGTTCAGAGCTCTAATACCCGCCTACTTTGTTTCTGCAAAGCTAGCTTAAAGCAGGACATAACAGTGCTATTATAAGAGCTTGTCTTTGCTATTTCAGGATGAAATTGTCTTATGAATGAGTTTGCTGTGCAACCAGAGGGTTGTCGGTTCAAGCCCCAGCTCCAGCTTTCAGTGTTGTAGTGGCCTTGGGCAAGACATTTCACCCTCATTGCTTACTGATGGTGGTCAGTGGGCCCGGTGGCACCAGTGTACAGGAGCCTCGCTTCTGTCAGTGAGCCCCTGGGCAGCTGTGGCTAGAATGCAGTTTGCCACCATCAGTGTTAGTGTGTGCGTGAATGGGTGAATGTAGTGCAAATTGCTTTGGGCAAGTCCTCTGACTTGAAAAAGCGCTATATAAATACAAGCTATTTACTATTTTCCATGAGAAAACAGATACTTGTGTTTCCTGTATGAACTTTTATTAGCAAGCGGTGAAAATCACATTCTCTGTTAGTTGTCATAACCTGTTAAATGCAAACCATATAGAGAGAGGGGGAGCCAAAGGGCACATTTAGTCAAAAACAGGGTTCTATGACAGAAAAAAGTCTGGAGAGGCAAAAAGAGGACTAAAGCTGGAGACATTATAGACAAAGACGGAGTATGGCGGCTAGCGACAGGAGGCCAAACTACTTTCCACACAGAGCTCTCGGGTGGACACTCGTGATGCTCACCAGGGCACAGAAAGAGGGAGAAAGGCAGAAGGAGAGAAGAAGAAAGTGGGTTACCACAGTAGGTCACGGCTGCTGGAAATAGCCAGCCCAATGCCTTTTGCTACCTGCCTCCCTCTCCTCGGTTCTTCTGCACAGGTGGTATATTAAGACCCAAATTTTATAGCCTTAAAGCATTGGGATAAAGTGGGACGATATTGTCTCCACGAGTTAAAAAAAGGTGTGTGTGACTGCGTGAGTCAAAGCTCTCCTGTGTGCTTCAATACTGAAGTGTGTGTCTCTCTGTGTGTGTGTGTGTGTGTGTGTGTGTGTGTGTGTGTGTGTGTTTGTGCACCTATGTGTGACTCATAAAGAGAAAAAGACAGAGAGAAAGAGACGTGACTGAACCTTTGTTCATCTGCCTGTGAAGTGGACCTTTTCAGGCAAAGCATTTTACAGGCCTGCTTTGCAGATTATGTGCAATTCCAATCGTCTACTTAATGTTTTCATGCATTAGTAACTTTTCAGTCATATATTCAGTATGTAAGTATATGGATATAAATGTGCATTGGATTCCGTATGTGTGGATGAATGCGCGAACATCTCCCTGGGGAGGAGAACGAGTGGATCTAGCAGTAAGCTCACTTCCCCTCTCACCATTCGCTCTCTCCATCTCCCTCCTACGACTTGTTCTCTCCGTGTTATGAAAGTGACCCACGTGGGTGTTATTGAGAATGATTGAGCGAGGATCTGTGCGTTTGTGTGTCTTCGTTTGTGTATACGTGTTGACCGGTGTCTTCTGTGACTCTCAGCAAGGCTAAACTCAAAATGTATTGTCTCTAATATCACAGATTTGCAATCTTGTAGGCAGCACCAGTTAGTAGCAGCTCATGAAGACAGATTCTGGCTGCCAGAACAAAGTCGGAAAAAGGTGTCAGGCTTCCGAAGCATTTGATGATTTTCTTTGTTTCTTTTCTTTAATCTTTTTGAAATACGACGAGTTGTAAAAGCTCCAAGTTATCTCTGTGACCGCTCAGGATCTGTCAGTCTGTATATCAGCCCAATGGCAGTTTGACATATATTCTTGTTTTGTCAGCATTGAAATGGTAGATAGACAGAATTCTGTTGTGAGCAACAACATACAAAAAAAAAACAATAAGTTTTGCAGGAGAGAACAAGACTGGGAAATGGATTTTTGTGGAGTGATATTAATTATTTTTGTATATGGATATTTGAAAAAAAAAACAATACATAAATTAAACTTAAAAAAAAAAAAAATTAAACTACCCTTGTCAGATTTCACTGTTCAAATGTTTATTTTTTTCCAAATACTCATTCTTATTCTTCTTCATATTATAATGTCATTTACTATATATATATATATATATATCATTCTTTTTCCTGATTTCATATTTTCAAACTTTATTTAAAAAAATAAAATGTTTGCATATAGAGATTTGCAGATTCATTCTTTTTAAAATGCTTTTACTGCTTACATTCTATCACTTCTGGAGGGAAGCTTTACTCTTTACTTATTGGCATAAAGAATCTGATCTGTAAAACACAATTTAAAAATAATGCAAATTTAAAAAAGGACACTTGAAACTAAAAAATATGTAAAAAGGAAATATGCATAAAATTGAAAAAAAAAATGATAATATGAAATCTGACAAAACAGTTTTTTTTTTTTTTTTTTAGTTTTCAGCGTCCTTTCTGGATTTGGGCAATAATGGAACTAAATTATTTCCAAATATTTTCTAAACTAGGCTAGTATAGAACTGGGTTGTTATTGTTTATCATTTGTACCTAAATGCACCATGAGAGGTGAACTCTTTGGAAAACTTCTGTTCGTTGAACTCCTTGTGAGGATGTCTGCTCTTAGACGGAGAAACATTTAATTTGTGACTCTAGTATTACAACACGCAGCGGGATTTGGACTTTAGCTCATTTTTCCAGGTACTAGTAATGCGAGTTGTTAAAGATGCCTAATCTAATCATTGTGGGTAAGTACTGACCTGAAGTTTCGTGTGATTCCCCTTTTCTTCCTCATCATTACTGTACGTGGAGAACAAAACTTTATGCTTTCTTAAAGCTTTCTGTTAACTTAGGGTTATAGTTTGTTTGGGTTCAGTTCTTGTTGTATAAGTATAATGAGGCATATAGTTAAATGTTTGGGCCAAAATAAAAAGGGAAACATTGATGAGCATTGTGGGGTTGAAGGTTTTCCCCAGGGACCCACAGTGACACTGAGGTTTTAACCAGAGATCTTGCAGCTTCTGTAGTACACAAATAACCTGCTGTCTAAGCTCCAAGCTACCACTCTTCACAATTCTTTAGTAATGTCATCTCTGTAATCTTTCATAAGGGTTTGTATCTGTATGCACGTGTGTGTGAAACGTAAACAGGTATGTGAACGCAGCTCCTTGCCTTCCTAATGATCGTTCCTCTGCGGGATAAGATGCATTACTGTGCTTTTAGCCTGGGTGATGGGGTTTATTTCAGGGGACCACATTTACAGCTCAGTACCCACTAAAGACGGTGGCAGTAAGACAATAATGTCTTCACGTGAGAAGCTAAATGGGCTGGCTTAATGTAAATTGAATAGAAATAGCTTTGAGGGGGCGGGGGACACATATGATGTCTGCCACTTGTCAAGGTCGTCTTAAAAACGTTCAGAGATTGAGCCACTTAGCATGTTTCTAACAGAGGAGCTTTATGGTACTATTGATTGGCTTGCTACTTCCCTCTATAAAAAAATGCCAAGATCAGTGAAAAGAACCACAGCTGGCACTTACAGCCCTTACTATGAGAGCTGATAGTAACCTTACTACGGGAGTACTGCCCATTAGATGATGATGTTAACCAGAGAGACTGGTTTAAGCAGAATGAAAACAGTGATGCTTCTGTATATATGAACAAGGTATTTTGGAAAAGGCCAAAAACAAACGTCCGTCATTTAACTGTAACCATAACTTTTCCCTTAAATATAAGAATAAATCCAGGGTAAGGGGCGAACTACGGTGGTCTACAGGTGCAAAAGCAATCTAAACAATAAAATGAGCTGCAAAAACATTGATGATGCAAACTCCAAAACATAAAAAGCACAAAAAACAAGTGCAACAGAAAAAAACTGTAGACAGGGAATAGTGCTATCACTATAAATAGAAGAAAAAGCTTTCAGTCAACAATCAATTTTGTGTTTTTCATGTTTTGGAGTTTGCATAATACGTGTGTTTTATTATATATTTTTCATTTTACCGTTTTGCTGCACCTGTTTTTGGGAGTTTGCATCATACCTTTTTGCAGCTCGTTTAGATGTTTACTGAGCGTTTGTACCTGTTGTGCACCTGGTGTTATTTATTCTAAATAACTTGAATTTAGCTTTCTTTAATGCCACATGAGTTTAGAATGTTAATCAAACAGCTCCAGGAAATACGGTCTCAAACATTCCTCAAAACAGAAACGTAATCCTAACACTTTCCAGATAATTTTTCTTACTGAAAGACAAGAAAAATTATTAGTAGAAAAAACAATAAGCATATTTTCCTGTGTTGTATAATTTTTGTCTTAGAATGTATACGCAGTGTATCCAAAACAAAATTTCAATGCATATAACTTTTCAATAGTGAATGAGCAGCTTACAACAGTGAAATAAACATTATCATTTATAAAGTGCAGCAATGATCAGAATGTAAACAGCCAAAATAGCATTTGATGACTTCCCATATATGTTCTGCACTTTGCTAAGGGTTTTATTTCAACATTTAACAGGAATAAAATTAACTCAATATTGAAAATCCTTCAGATATTAGCGATACTGTTTTGTTACAATTCATTCATTATTTTAGGAGTGCAAGCAATTATGAAGTGAAAAGGGTCTTTCATTGCTTTTACAAAGAAGCATATTTTTAAAAGAGTAACAAATTAAATCAATGAACTTTCATTAAAACCTCCAAAAGTTTGACCTGAATATCAACTTCATCTACATATTTCCAACTCTGCATCATTTTGTTGTTTCTGCAATTATTTGCTGACCAAAAAGTTCAGCCCTGATGAAAACACCTCTGTGTACCAAAGCCTGTTTGGTGAAGGAACATTTTCTGTAGCGACCTCAAACATTTTATAGCTCCCCTCCTGTCTTCACTTGTCATGGAGCCAAATACACCAACGAAAACATCCTGGCTGCCCAAGTTCTGATAACACAATGAACCTCGGTAACATCATCAAAAGTGTCACAAACTGCAAATGAGGTGCAATGGTCATTTGCGAGTTTGACCTGCAAATGATAAATGACACCAAAGTATCATTTACACATGCATGAGTTACAGGAATACATTACACTTGATTTTGTTGACCCGTGAAATCTTCAGTATCTGCACAGTTTAAAGGCTGGAAGCAGACGGCCGGTGCACCAACATGCAGAGATGAGAGAAAGAAGAGGAATAAAAGAATAACAGGTGGAATTCCTCACCTCTCCCACCATCCCGTTCCAGGTCCCATTGATTTTTTTGCCATGTTTTCCGTTAGTGACCAGGTAAAGGTCATACGTGAACTTGACTGACTTGGCGATTTTCTTCAGGATATCGATGCAGAAGCCCTTACAGCAGCGCTTGATGTAGATCCCTGATTCCTTGGTCTGATTACTGCAAAAAAAAACAGAGACAAACTGTATTTAATCCAAACTGTACATCTGTCTGAATTGGCAAATTTACTTGTGAACGCTATCTAGTGTTTGTGGCGTTGTCATTCTAACACTGTTGAAGTGTGAATTTATTCTACCTCCGGCGCTGTAAAGCTACCGTGGGAAACAGCCATTATTCACAAATGTAATTTACCCAGCTGCCAGTTTTTCTTCTTGCTATTCTCTCTATGGTCAGCTCTAGCTACTGTGACAGATGGGCAGAAAAATAATGCACCGATCCATTGCTAAACGTGTGGAGATAAATAAGTCATGCTTTGTCAATCTTGACTCGGTTAAACATGATTTGGTGTATCCTAGATCAGACTCTCACATCTTTTTGATCTGTTTTCTGCAGGGGACGGTGTTCCTCATGCAGGTTCCACTCAGGGGATCCACATCCTCCACGATGACAAACGGAGCTTCCTCCAATGTCACGATGGACAGGTGGTCATCCTCCTTGGCTGCCCCTCCATACAGCTCATAGCGAGGCCACACGTGGTACTTCATGGACAAGGAGCCATTTTCCCATTTACCCACCTGCAGTGACATGCAGAAAACAAAAAAATGAGCGGATTGCCTAAAAAGGGTTTTTCCCCTGCAAGTCATTTATCTTTTCCCACATAGAGTGATATGCAAAAGTTTACATCTCTTAAACTGTCTCACATTTGGTTATGGGAAAAAAACTAAAAAAAAAAAAAAAAAAAACAATGCAAAGAATAACGTAACTGTGAAGTAGAGGGAAGTTCAGAATTTGTTACAAATGAAAAACCTATAAAGCCACAAAGTGCATTTTATTAATCCCTTTAAGTTATTTGTCTGAAACCTACCTTTCATTGTATTTTAAAAGGAAAGTTTTTGGCAACATGTCTCTACCAGACTGGGAAATCAACATCAACCTCCTGCAGGATTGGTGAAGAGCTGCATAGGTCATATTTCTAAACCATATAATAGCTGATACGTGAATCTCCACTTCAACCTAGCGCCTTTTAAAACCTCAAACAGGTTTTTAACCATGATTGACCTGTTTTTATCTCCATTCAACTTCCTGTTATCTTTGATAGGTCCTTTTTGGCAATAAGACAAATGTGTTGACTGGTATTCATTAAAAAGGTTGGAGTCATTTGCACAAATAAATAAGTTTGCAAATTATTCTTACAAGTGTTTTAGGGTAAAAAGTCGCATTCACCATTTTTCTCCAATTTCTAGTCTTCTCTCCGGTACGCAACTTTTTTAGGAGTGCTCCAGGCTTGATGTAGGAGAATTGTGCCTAGCTTTTCACTAAATGACAACATTTGTTTTACGCTGGTGGTCCCTTTCATTAGGCTACATCATTATATATATGCAACCTGCCTATAAATTATATTTTTATTCTCTGATGACAGAACTATCGGTCACTACACCTGCAGCTGCCATATTGGTATCCAGGAAAAACTGGTTTAATTTGTTGTAATCTTGTCCAAAGAAAGAACAGTCTGTGAGCTCTATGTGAGATGAAGCTACTATTTAAATAACATCTGGAGCTGAAAATGGATAGAAAGTTTAGCAACGTGGTAGGGCTTGTATTCCTTTCACTCCTTTGCTTTGTATATACTAAATGTTTTGGTTTGTTTGAATTTGTCAAATTAGGGTTTTTGCCGTTAACATAATTGTGTTTGTGCATTATGGTATGGCAGACATAGAGAGTGCGATATAAGAATGACCGATATGGTCTGGATATGTACAGTACAGGTGTGTGCGTGTATTAGAAAGAAATTTTGCAGATAGTTTTCTGCTGATGGTTGGTGGTGAATTCATATTAAGCAATTACCCAGATGTTGCACCTCTTGCCTTCATGAGTAGTTTTCACTTAGTGTTTTCGGATCAAATGATTTTTCTTTTTATATTTTTTTTACTTATTTTTACCTCTGTAACAGTGCAGCCAGGTCATTAACAGAGGCAGTAAAGAACATTGCCTCACACTCACATCCAGTGAGAGCTGCACTCACAGATTAACAGCTGTAAATTTACCAAAGTAGGTTTGCCGCGTAGCTTAAAAAATAACTGTTTCTGGATATTCTTGATTCAATCTATTTTTTAAGATGTAGAGTTGATAAATAAGAAAATAAAAATAAGTTTCAATTATTCTATAACTCTATGATACCCATTTTGTTCATTTATAAAATAATATAGGGTGTTTTTCTACGCATAGATATACATTTCATAGAGGCGCCTCCGGGGTACCCTACCCGGTGCAGGACTCTGAGGTGTGGCTCTGCTGAGAGTTTAAATGAAAACTTTTATGAGGAAGTAAAATACAGATATAACATTTATAACAGTTTTTGTTGAAATATAAACCTTGGATATTTCTTTTTATTTTTTATTTTTCCCCGCTGGCTTCATTGCACCTTCTGAAGAAGATCGTCTTTATTTGGTTTGTTTTGTGAACGACTTTGGAAGGACTCAACGCATCACCTGGCAGGAATCAAACTTAAAAATTAAATCAGATCACATTTCACACTACAGTAGCTTCAGTCCATTAAAAAAAAAAAAAGAATAACTGCTGCTCTGCAGTTACAAACAGTTCTGAGGCATATCATCAAAGAGGAATGTGGAGTATGTATGCCTTACAGCAAAAACATCTCCATCCAGTTGGGATTTTAAAGCCTCATGTTGAGCGTCCTGCATTTTATTGCAAGGTGGGCCATCTGCTCAAGTAAAACAGGTTATATCAGGTAAAGAGAATATAAAGAATACATTTTTTTGTTTCTCCTCCTGGCAGCTTAGGCTAGGTGTGATGTGACTGGTTGCCTTGCAGTGTCAGGTAAGCATTACTTTCCTATACCAGGGAAAATGAGCTTATTCTACTGTTGTATAATTGACATTATTAACTAAATGGCACAACAGATTACACCTGATTGAAGCAACAAATGGAGGAAGGAACATCAGTTATAAGGAGACAAGGATGGCAGGTTGATAACAGGAAATCGTAAACCAAACACAATCCAGCCATTTAATTAAGGAAGTGAACCATGAATATTATAATAAATATTACACACAGTGATATATATTACTTGCACTTACTACATAACCATCAAAAAATTTTGTCTAATACAGAAATGTGTGCCTGCTCAAAACCATGTGCAGGTTATTCCTTAGTTGGTTCTCATTTTGAATAAACTAATGCATAAATGTGAAATGGAGGCGATCATCCTGTGTTTCTGCTGTGGTAACACTCCAGATGTTCTCTACAGGGTTTAGGTCATACTAGCTTGCTGGTCAATCAGTAACTTTGATAAACTTCCACTGATATTGATTGTAGTGTGAGCATATAGCAGGTCATTCTGGATTCTGGAAAATATTATGAATTCAGCATCTAAGCCACAGGTGTCAAACTGGTTCCAGAAAGGGCCGTGTGGCTGCAGGTTTCCTTTCCAACCAAGCAACAGCACACCAGACTCCATTCATCTCATCAAATCATCCTGTTCAGATTGGACTCACTTGATGAGATGAATGGAGTCTGGTGTGCTATCGCTTGGTTGGAAAGGAAACCTGCAGCCACACGGCCCTTTCCCGAACCAGTTTGACACTCCTGATCTAAGCTAAGGACACTTTAAGTAACAGATGGCTACTCAAAACCTGGAACTTTTTAAGATTTTTCCTTTCAATCAACTTTCCGTTTTTATTTTAAGAAGTGACTTTTTATGGCTTAGCCTTCTTATAAACTCTAAAAAAAAAAAAAAAAGAAAACTCTTAAAATAAGAATGTGTTAGGATTCCAGTTTGCAATGGGTTGTTTTTTGTGTTTTCCTCTGTCCACCACCAGGCGGTGCCATGTCCTCGTTGGGCCTCCCTGCACACCTGTGGCTCATTGGGTCATTACCAGAGAAGTACTTGAGCAGCGGGTTGTCACTACCTCGACGCCAGAGTGTTTGCCAGGATCGGTTACTCTAGCCAAACTGAGATTAGCAGAGGCTAACCTTAGCATTTTTTCTCTGAGTCTGAACTTGTTTTTGTCTTTGTTCTTCGGCCGGAAGACTTCCTGTGTTACTGGATAAGCCTGGACCTTCTACCCCTGGAAGGATTTACTGAGTCTCACTGAGCAAGGGGAAAACCTCCACATGATCCATTTAAGTCCACTCCTGGAAAACCAAGTGACAGTCCACTCCTTTACTCCTCCGGGTCCAACTTATGTCTGCCTGCCCGTTCTCTAATGAGTTCCCTTTTCTCTGGACTAAACCCCCACAAACTGGATCCAAGGATAAACAAAGAGCCCCCCAAAGTGAGTGCCTCTCCAGCAATATTCAAGCCTCAATCTATTTTCCCACGGTCCCTGAACTGATCACTGTGATCTCCCCTTCAGAGTTTCCGGTTCCGTTTCACCAGTCCACCGAGTTCCAGCATTGTTTCAATCTCCATCAGTGTTTCCTAACCTACAATAAACCTGTTAAACTTTTACCCTTGGTCTCTGAGTGGTTCTCTGCATGTGGGTCAGATCTTTAAAGTCCACTATGACAGAATGTAGCTTCAACTCAAATAAAATCATTTAAGTTGATAACAAGTACTTCCAATAAGTTTCCCAACTTTATTTAATTACAAGGGTTTATCTCGACAACTTATAAATTAAATTCAGTTAAATCAACTGGTTATTACCAAAGTGAAGTAGTTTGTTTAATTGGAGCCTGTTTTTTGAGTGTAACAGTTATCAATGAAGAACTGTTAATGAAGCAGTCTCTACTATCATCATTACAAACACACTTTTTTGTAGTATAAACTGCTCTTTAATTAGTCCTCTAAAATATTTTAAAGGTTTTTATGTCAGATCTATATTCATAAATCATTTAATACATTTTTGATAGTAAAGTTTGTGCATTTAGGGATTTTTTTTAGCATGAAAGTTTTTAATTTGTATTTATGTCACACAATTCTACCCAAATATAGTTTAGTGCACTCATTTCCATTGAGGAATATGGTCTTGGTGGAGTGTCTGTAGAAAATAAGTGATTTTATCTAATCCAATGTAATGTAATCTAGTCCAATCTAATACAATACAATACAATCAATTAATTTACAGTTTTCATGAGCTGTATTCCATAATCAGAAAAACGAAAGAATACCTGAAATATATCATTTGGAGTGAGTATGATCTAATCTATATATGTAAGTTGAAATTTTCGATTCGAACTACTGAAGTAAATGAACTTTTCAATGAAAATTAGATTTATTCATATGCCCCTGTAATTGTGGGATTGCTCCTGCATTCAACCGTATTGTGTAAGTGCATCGTTTGAGAGGAGAGGAACAGGAGAGGAGGGGTAGGACTGGGACCTGGAGTAGAGAATGAGAACAAGGTTAAGCTGAAGGACGGAGACGATACAGAGGATAGAGCAGAATTCAGATCACGAGGAGAGAAAATACGGGAATATATATGTATATAACATGCAAGGAAAAAGAAAAGGAAAGTGAATAGAGAGACTTAAAGAAAAGCAACTCCAAACACTTATTTCTGCATAAAGAAAGTAGAATATAAAGTGAAAGAGTCAAATGCAAATTGCTGGATCTTGTGTAGAGGAGTGTCCAGCTGTACGTCTGGAGGGCCCTCCAGCCCTTGGAGGTCTACTCAACTCAACAAGCATCACCAATTAGTCAATTTTTCCCCGATGCCCCTCTCTGAAACCTCTACCTGCATCAACCAGCCCCTTCCATCAAGACAAACAGATGGTTTGAAGTGGAAATGCAGCACACAATTTGAAACAGCTCAACTCTAGCGCGAGGGTGTAAAGTCCAGTTTGCACACTCATTAAACATGGAAATGTGTTCAAACACATTGCATCCTGGGGAACACAAGCTTGGCAAAGTGGCTGGAAAGGATAAGCTGAGGCTGTGTATCCCCACAGCACAACGCAGCCCCTTTCCTGTCTGGACGACAAGTGGTGAGAGGCAGTAAATGACAGAAACAAGAAGAGAAAGACGGTTTAAATTCCGGCCTGGAGGGATGGGAACCGGACATTACCAGAGTCTTTACATTTCTTCAAAGAGGCAGCGAAGGGGAGAAGAGCCGGAGGTTGTCAGGATCCGAGAAAGCTGGAAATCAAGCTGGGAATTAAACATGAGCGATAAAGCAGGAGGGTGAGGTGGAGGAGAAAGGAGAAGGTGGTGCAGGACGCAAGAGGAGGGGGAGAAAAAGGGAGACCAGAGGGGAACAACTCACCTTGTTCTCTGATCAGAGGACAGAATATAGATTAGAGAGGCAGAAGATAGAGAGAAGTACAGGGAATAAAAAGCAGAGAGAGGTGAGGGAGTCAGGGCGCGGGACACAATGGAGCGGGATCATCTCAAACGCAGATGCATGCTGACTCGGCAGGTGGTGGGCTGCGACAGGTTCATTTTGGCTGGTTCTGAATTATTGTTGCCATATGTACACCAACAGCTTCTCCTCTCGCCATACTTGGTGGCTTTTTATTCTAGTTTTTTATTACATCATAAAATAGATTTTTAAAGCTGGATTTGAATGATAGGAAGCTGAATCAGCATGTAAAGTTTAAATGGACATTTGCTTTTTACAGCTAAGAATATCAAAGTCTTACCTCTGAAGCTTCAGTTCAAAGGCATCTGATATAGCTTAATGTATGCATTACACACAATAGATGCTCTATTCAGTGCACACATACTGTACCTATAACTGTCTCTATTCTACAGCAGGAGCAATATCCACAATAACTCCAGAGGCGGGGGAAAACTCTGGACAGACTGCCAGTCAATCACTGGGTTGACTTGAAAAGACGGGCAATCATTGGCATGCATATCCACACCTACAGAAATTCTGAAGTCAGCAATTAAGCCTAACCTGCACGTCTGTGTAATGTGGGAGGAAAATGGAGTCTGCAGAGATAACCCACGCACTCTCAGAGAAATTATGCACGCTTCACATAGAAGTACCGAAGCGAGCCTGCAGGTTCTAACCCCGAGGATGGGAACATATGCTGTGGAACTGAGTCTCAGTCTTACATGAATGGACGGAAGTGAAACAGAAGGAGAGATTCTCTGTTTTTTTTTTTTTTCATTTAAAGTTCTCATGACGAATGTAGTCAATCTTTTTCAGGTGTTTATAGTCTGCATTCAAGAATCAGCGACTTACCAGGAATCTGGTTAGGATTCATATCTGATGCCAAAAATGGGAAAATTAAAAATTTCCCATTTTTTTTTCATGTTACTTTCATGTAACGCCAATCTGTCGCATTTGAATTTGATGAGATAGACCAGGAGAGAGTCCTCCCCATCATGAAGCAAAAGGATTATTGTTCGAAATTAGAAAAATGTGAAGAATGTCTGTCACAGCCCTTACAAAACACTTTACAGAATTATCGTTTGCTGCATTTCCTTCTGTTATGAATGTAGCTCATTTCAACACTTTTAGACAACACTTTTTTGTCAGTTTATGTTTGCTAAATTGTTCAAGCTCTTTTAAATGGGAATTTGAATTTCTGGGAATGAACATTATATTCTTGTCACAGATTACCAACACGTTTAATAATCTACAAATATAAAAGAGAACAGATATAATGGATTTTTAATCAGCTACCTTTATTCTGAAATCCGTAGAAGATGTCCAATTTAACCAACTAACTTCAGGAGTCATTTAATTATATATTAAAAAAAATAGGTGGGTAATATGTAATTTTGAAGAAAAAAACGCTGTAGAGATTTGTCAGAAAACATTTTTGCCCAAACAACCCTTGTCTGGGAGAGCTGCAGAGTTCCTCAGCATAGATTAAAACATTAGTTGTTCTGCATTTAAAAACATTGTCTTTGTTGATTAGTGGAATGAAGAAACCAACTGTAGACAGAAAACATTAAAAAGCCGTAAGCCAGCCCCATTTTAAAACAATTGTCTTTTGAAACAATGGTGTGGGAAAACTTTTCCTCAGCAGAACATGGATACTGGTGCAGGTCGATGGGATGATGAAATGGTTAGAATGGCCTGGTTAAAGTCCAGATGATAACCCACTTAAGAATGAAAAGTAAAGCTTCAGTGCTTCTGCTTATCACCAATTTGGGGAAGCTTGAGGTATTTTGCAAATAGAACAAAAAGGTAAAAAAAGATAAAAGTGTGGCATCTATTCATAGATGCCACACTTTACCTATTATTTTTTTCTTTTATGTTACAGCATCTATTTTTTTCTTTCAACTGCATAATTACGGACTCCTTTGTGTCTGTCTTTCACATAAAATCCAAAGGTGTAAGGTGAGAGTAAGACATTTTTCTGCATGACCCTGCATCTTGTTAGATGATCCGTTATAATTGTTTTTTTTTTTAATTCAATTCAGTTCATTTTATTTATATAGCGCCAATTCACAACACATGTCATCTCAAGGTACTTTACACTTCAACCAGATCATTTTAAATTTATAGTAGCACAAAAACGGTACAACCTCTACTCTCTTTGCATGTTTCAGCTAGTAATTAGATTTTTTTCTCATTCACAAGTCTTGCAAAGCATGTATTTTTGCTTTACTGCAGTGTGTAAAATTTGATGTTTGAGGCCCTTTAAGGAAAATATTTACTCAATAAAAATTCATCCTCACCCTGTTTTTTTTCAACAATCTGCTGCTTCTTCTAAAAGGAAACTGTATTATAGCAGAATGCACTTACATTTTAACAAAAACCATATTAATAAAAACAGCACCAAAAATACAGTTAAGGAGATAAATCTGCTGAATTGAATGGCCCAAAGGCACCTTCCCTGAGTTGATGATATCTAATCAGAAAGGCGCATCAAAGGCTTAACACTTTAAAGGCTTGAAATAGTAAAAATCCAAAGATAGATCAAGAGAGTCACACAAACCTAAAAATATGACAGTGGCTCTAAGATTTTTCCCCTAATTACCTGTTAAGATATGGAAAGAAGTTGCTATGACTGTCGTTTTAGAAAATGCATGCAGCAGATGCAGCTCTTTTCTGCTAAAACATTCTGTTTCCCCATCCTCCATCCACCATTAGAAAAAGACATCTCAGGATTGAGTTGCAAACAGACAACCAGACAGTGCCACGTCTCGTTTTGTCTTACCCTGTCCCACTGTCTCTCTTTGTTGAGCAGAATAATGACAAGCTTAGGGTGCATCTGGTACCCATCCTCGCTGAACGACAGATTGCGCCCCTCAAATGTCACATTCATCAGGTACCTGCAGAGAGAAACAAAGAGGAAAGGGATAGAGAAACAAAAACTGAGCATGACTTGCTTAAAAGTGTGTTTGTCAGTGGCAATTTACATATGTCCTATATTTTCCAAAGATGTCTAAATATATTTTGCTGAAAACCATTCATTCATATTTTAGCATCTTAAAACCTTTTTCTCGTTTAAGATTTTCATCTAATGACAATGCTGAAATCCTACAAAATAAGCTGTTTTACCCCAGGAAACATTCAACAAAACACGTCTTTTCAAAACCAACCTCCTCTGGGTTACTGATAGTGGACTCCTTGCCAGCCTGCAGTAATCTCAACCTTTGAAACTCTCCCACGAAATCCCCATGGACTCATTAGCTACAGCAGACAACCATGAAACAACCATGGTTCAACAAAGACCCTTCACATCTCAAATTGTCTCTCCACGCTTTTGGTGTACCTCAAGGCTGGGTGCTTGGACCTCCCCTGTCCATTATCTATCTTTACTCAAATGGTAATAATTTTCATTCATTTAAATTACCATGCGGAAAACACTAAACCTACTTGTCTATTAAAAAAGTTTGGTCTGGAAAAGAAAGCATTTGCTTTAATCATTATGCAGATGATACAGTTTTATGTTCATCCCTGTATGTTTTTGGGTGTGTTACAATATTACTTGATTCCATACATGGAATAAACACATTATTATTATGTTTACTTCTTTTTACAGCCTAATGGGACGAATATCGTGGCTGGAGCAAACAATTTACATGCTCAGAAAAAGAGGAGGCTCAATGGTGTTTCTGAAAACCAAACGTAACATATTGCATTGACAAATGTTGAAACACATTACTACACTGGGTGAAAATAGCTGTTATGAAGCGCTCTGAAACAATAAACCCCAGCAACCATGACAACAGTTCAGCACAGTTCTGACTGAACAATCACTTTTCTCTCTCGACTCATGAGGAAAACCTCCTGCTGTCTGGCCACTGTCAGTCACAATTATGTTTGCCAATCAGCATCGAGAAGCCAGCATCACAACCCGCAACTGCTCTTTAAAAGGCTTTGCCTCACTGGAAGTGACGTATTTTTGAGTGTTATCCAATCAGGGCCTCCTTTATTGCTGCTTGCCTCAATATATGGAGGGTCAAGCCTCAATAGGGATTTCTCACAGAAACTAATAATCCTGCTGTTAGGAATCCAGTTTGTGTGGGCTGTGTTTTTGTGTTTTCTCCCTCCACCTCCAGGTGGCGCCGGGTTCTCGTTGGCCCTTTCACACACCTTTGGATGGTTGCCTCATTACCAGAGGACTCTTAAGCTGCTGACTGCCACTTCCTCGACGCCAGATTGTTTCCCAGTTTTGGGTACTCTAGCCTAGCTGAGTTTTGCTAAGTCAAACTGAGTTTTTGTCTTCCTGAGTCTAAACTTTGTTGTTTTTTGTCATCCTGCAAACTGGATGTTTTGGACCTTCACCCCTTGGAAGGATTGTCGGAGCTTCAAACTGAGCTGGGGATTCAAACTGGAGGCTTGGATCCACTTTTCCCCGAAGGATTGTTTGAGCTTCACACTGAGCAGGGGATTCATCTTCACAAGAGCCGTTCAAGTACCAAGGGAAATCTAAGTGGCAGTCAGCTCCTCCGCTCCTCAAGGAAACATCTTAACCTGGGTAAACCCCATCCGCACTCCAACGAGCAAACCCATTTCTGTTGCTTTTACTCCCCATTGCAAATCGAAGCTCAAATTTCCAACTGAGCCTGAATTAACCACAGGAACTTCCCCTTCACTTTTCAGTCCAGGTTCGCCAGCGTTCAGAGCAGCACTGGACCCATCTCTACTAGCTTTCAATAAACCTGTTAAACCTTACCCTGGTTCTTCTGAGTGGTTTTCTGCATGTGGGTCAGATCTTTGAATAAAATCATGACACCTGCTGCTTCAGAGAGGGAGATTGCATCTGATTGCGATCTCAGCTGATTAATGTGCAACATACTCATGAATTCAAGCACTTTTTAGCATGTTTATCTCATTAAATGACTGTCTTTAAGAAGTCTAAAAATGCACATTTGACCAATTATTTGATGTAATTTACAGGGGAGGCTTTCTAGTATACAATAAGAAATCACCACAGCTATTTTTACGTTCATTTCACAAAAAGCAATCAGGGACTTAATGTGGCTGTGATATATAGTGCAGGAGTGCAGAGGAGACAAGCTTTTTATTTTAATTACAATGGAAGCTAGAGAAAATAATATTGACAAAGCATGAAGTAGGGTTTGCTCTTAAGAGGTTTGAGAAATATTACTGCATGCTTTTGTGCCATCTAGGCTCTCTTTATTTTGGCTAATGAAAAACTTGTTTAAACTAGTAACGAGTTCAACAAACACCTGTTAAGACTTCAAAGAGAAGGAAGCACATGTCTTCAAAACTTAACGCTTCTGGAATGGATTTCAAAATTGTATCACTTGTTGTTAAATATCTTCATCACGTTATCTCTGGATACCAATGTGCTATGTTGTAGATAATGATTTCTGATATCAGGTCCCCACTCGATGTATACTTCTATCCTGGGGTGACAGGAGAAAAAAAAGGAAAAGCTCTATCAGCTGCACACCAAGCTTTCTGGTGCTCATGTGCATATTCCTTTAACTAGCTAAAACACAGAAGGAAACTGCTCCAAGGTTTGGTGCTAAACTAAAGAGCTCTATAAATAAGGAGTCATTAACCCTGCTGAGTCTAAAATCCAGAAAGCTTATCAAGCCACAGCACAATTAATCCACTTTGAACAAGGATTCTTTCAAATACAGTTTGAAATTCATGAAACTTGAATCTTTAAATTAAATTGACATTTTTTTTAAAGATTTTTTTGCATCAAAACCAGCGAAGATTTACACAAGCATAAAACCTACAAAACACACCTATGTATCCTTAAAACACATCTATGGTTTGTAAAAAATCAAAAATGCAACAAAATTTCTTATGTTTCCCATGAATACTGTGTTTTATTGTGGAAATATATCTAAGAAGCTGGTATGATGAACAGGTAGATTTATTAAGGAGTGTAAAAAAAATCTCTAATTTATCTATTTTAATTTTTACTCTCTTCCTGTAATAAATTCATAAATGTGAGCAGTTTCCTTCTTCATGATTTGATTTCTTTTGTACTTTTCTGATGTTTGGGTACAGAATGGCTTTAAAATGTAGCTTCTACCTACTAGTTCTAGTTCTAGTGCCTATAGCTCCTATTCCTTCACCCTTTTCAGGATCAAAAGTAAAAACTCTAACCAGTGTTGCAAAGGAGCTCCAGACTACTTTGCTGAATTTAGCCAACCTTCAGCCTCACAGATGTCATTATGCAACCAACATTCACATGAATGATTCTACAGCATTTCACATAAAATTTACGAAAAACAAAAGTTACATGAATATAGTAAACAGTTGAACCCCTCCATTCCAAAACCCAAAACATATAAACAATTTGTACATTTTCATGCATAACAAAGACCACGTTATTAAATAATGTGATTAAATGTGTTGGTAAACTCTGTGGTGTGCATATAAGTCCTGTCATGCAAAGGATTATGGGCAACTGTATAGCTCCCGGCGGTGGATAGTACAGTGACAGTACAGTGACAGGTGCAAATGCGCACTTTACAACAAAACGAGCTGCAAACACCAAAACGATTGAACACACACAAAAAAAAACAAAGGCAATAAAAAAAACTGCAAACAAAAATGCTATAATCAATACAAACAGAAGCAAAAAGCTACATTTAACAAATCAGTTGCAAACAAACAATTGCTGCAATCTTCATCTTCATCACACTGACAGAAAATTACAAGTTAGTTTATGGAAAAAAAAAGTAATTAATTCCAAATGGAAAGTCCTCTTTGAAAAAGTTTTATTTGACCGTATACATTTGTTTTAAGAAAGGAGCAAATGTTTATGGTAAGTTGCGCCACAGAGCTACAGCCACACACGGGGCGTCTCTGTGTTGCCATAGCAACGACTGCTTTCCTTTTTCGTTGGAGGAAAGAGGCCGTCCCGTTCTCGTTTATACCCCACCACCTTCAATCAAGGCGCCTTCCACAGCTCCACAGCTAAGAGTGAGATTTCCTTGGGAGTGATACTTGATAGTTAAAGGTTTGTGGGATTGGGCTGAGAGGTTGGCTATCTTTCATTTGATTGAAAGAGCGTTCTTTGGTCGACTCCCTCTAGTGGTAGATGAGCACTTCTGTTATTTAGAGCAAGTTTGTTGCTATTTTTGCTATTTGAATCTTTTTTTCCAGTGATTGCAGTGTTTTGTTTTTGCTTGCAGAATTTTGTCCATCCTTGCAGCCTTTTGTTTGCATTTGCTTTGCTGATTGTAGAGTTTAGCTTCTAGTTTTAGTGATTGTGGAATTTGTAATTTGCATTGTTTTGTTTTTGCAGCTCGTTATTCGTTTACTGCACGTTTGCATCTAACGGCCACGAGAGGATAGGAACATCAGGAGATCCATCTGCTAAATGAACTGACAATAAGAAGCATGCTGCTTCCTCTATCTAGCTCCTTCCCTACTGCCAGTATTACTCAGACTGATCATGGCAAACCCTTGATACCCTTCTCCTTTGGCTTAAGTCTCCTTAATGATTTGCAAATATCTAATAGGAGCCAATGAACCTTACAAGTTGGAGTTGAAAGAACTGGGCCTGGAAGAAGGGTGAACATAACAGAGCAAATCAGCATGGACCAATGAAAACCAGGGAGCTTAAATATGAAAGAGGAGTGAAGAGCGATGTTAAAACAGGTTTTTCTAATCAAAACATTGAAGGACAGTTGGAAAAATAGCTGGGTGAGGGACTAACTAGCACAAAGAGCTGAACTAAATATAATGTGATAACCATGAATAGAAAAAGAATAACATTAGATTAGAAATCTAAAATGCACAGAGAAAAGAAAAAAAAAAGAAAAAGAGAAACCACTATAGAAAAACCCTAAAATCAAAATGTTACAAATATTAGCATGAGCTGCAACCT